ATATGAATCCTTGGAAAAAATAAACTTGAGCCTGCGATCATTTCAAACTGGTAATTAATCAGCGGATAACTTCAAGAAAATATTCGACCTCGATGGGTCAACACTTGAGCCCGCGGTACGGTCAGGTGATACTGGTCAGCGGATGTCCTGTTTTGACAGCTGTCAATTGATCACAACATTGATGAGAAATTAGTTTTCTCTTGGGCTCCCAAACTAGCTAAAATGTGAGAGTAAACATTGGTTGTCCTGTGGTGCGGACGGACGGTCGGTCGGCGGTCGGCGGTCGGTGTACGGTCACGTGATTACCAAATTTTCTGGGATGGGTAGATTTACTTAGCAGTGGAGCTCCGCTATTACTATCACGCTTATAAAGGTACATTGTAACGAACGTTTCAGAAAACGTTTTAACTCGTTTCGATCGACGATGAAACGCCATCATCAAAAACAAATCACCAAACACTTTCCTCTAGAGCAAAACGGAAAATAGAGAAAAAAGTGGCGTTTTACTGATGCTAAAGCAGGAATAGTTTCAGCGTGATCATGAGCTTTTAAAAATGCAAATGCTCCTAAATGGACATCTATAGATCCTTGCATCGCCATTGGAAAAAAACTCTCTAGCCCACTATGAACTAGCCTATTCCAGGCGTAGTGGACAGTGGATAGAGAACAGTGGCGCGAAATGGGGAAAGGAGGAAAACAAACGTGAAAAAGAGTAAGAGGGAGAGAGTAGAAGGACCTTTCGTCCTCAATCCCTAACCCCGCCCCTTCGCCATTTTTTCTAGCCCACTTTTCTTTGCGTTTTCCCAACTATCTGAAGGCCTGTTACAGGTTACCTACGTCCTTAGTTTACAAATTTTTATGGTATATAACGTATTTATTCGATTAACCGCCCTGGGCGCTTATTAAATTTTTGGACCTTGAGAGTGGGCGCTTATTCGAGGTGGGTGCTTATTCGAGGTGGGTGCTTATTCGAGGTGGGTGCTTATTCGAGGCTGGGCGCTTATTAAATTTCGCCATTCTCAGCAAGTGAAGTATGTTTATTTGGCAACAAAACAATAAATGGTAATAACAAAAAGCGGAGATGTAACAAAGCAAGGTTTCTGTAAAATGCTCTTAAGAAAACTCCGTCTTCGGGAGGGTCTCTTATTATCTCTTATTTAAGTTTGTGTAGGAGGGAGTGGGGTAGTCGTGGGCGCTTATTCGAGGCTGGGCGCTTATTAACTGTTCTGCCTTTAGGAGGGGCGCTTATTCGAATAAATGCGGTATTCAACTTGAGCGTCGAGCACTTTTGGCGCTTTGTTATTGATCAGCAGGAACGGATTTGGTAGTACTAACTTTTCAACTGCTTTTAGACTGTCTCACTCACTGTGCCCCCCGCCTCCCCTTTTTCCGAAAAAAAAAACAATAAAAAAACAATAAAAATAGGGAAACAAAATAGAGTATAATACTAAAGCTAAGAAGAATCTTGCAACAAACGAATGGGAACACCTAAAAAGGAAACTTTTCATCCTCCGTAGCCTTAGTCCATGAAACGTAGACGCCTAAGCGGGCCTCCAAAACCTTACCTTTGTCTTTGTCACAAACCGAATAAGACTGAAAGCCTTAGTCTGCTTTACGTAATTACCGTATAGATCTCCAGAAGAATTGTTTGCAGCCGGCCCTCAGTTAACCCCAAGAGACTTCGCCTGTTGCTGGTCAATATATAGGAAGGCTATTCCAAAGAACTGCTCCAGAAAAACTATTTTTCTTAACATTTTTCTGGGGTAGAGGAACAGCGAGTTTTCAGTGTTTGTTAATAAGTAATTAGAAATACTGCAACGTTCTGCTCTTGCTACGATCTACTATGCACTTATCAAGGCCCCTCAAGGTACTTAAGATATATGACGCATATTCTGGGATACACTCGCCTCTCACCGCTCTTTGACGAAATGTCCCTAGCGGCAGATAGCGATGAGAGGAAGCTGTATCGCAGGCTTTTGGACACAAGGCTTTTTTACGATTTACATGGGTAAACCGGTCGCTCCACGGTTTGGGCAAATGGTGAGGAGAATTCAGGACTGATTAATTTTGATTCCGTTCGGTAATCGCGTGTACCATTTGCCTAAGTCAGTTTCGTTTAATGAAAAACGGCCGCGAAAGCCTGAAACTGATATTCAAAAAAGGTTTGAAGACATGAAATCCGAACTTCTACCTGAAAGTTTCCAACCGGGAAGACCAGGAAAATAGGCGAATACCTTTTCAGACGTTCCGTTTGTTTCAGGAATGTTCAACTGAAACGTCGAAAGCAACCCGAAACTGAGTTAATGGTAAGCCTGGCAAAGCAACAAAGTGTCCTCTTAGTTGGTTTTAATGGGTCATGTATATAGTCACGCAGTAGCTTCATGATTCATACACGTTGTCATACAAGTATATTGGCTCCTCTTAAGCATCCAGCTAGCTTTTTTTTTCAGCTTTGAGAGCCCACAAGGGTAAAAACTTCGAAAAGAACTATTGCACCAATACTTAGTCTAAAATATTTTTGTTCTTTAAAATTGCTTCAAGGAAATTAGTTTTTATTAACCAAATAGCATTGATTGGCGATGATTTAATTCGTTAATATCTCTCAATGCAAAACTGTCATTCAGTAATCAGTTTTAGTTTTTAGATTTTGTTCTGTTTATATACCATTTTTTGAGGGAAATCGCCAGTGTGAAACTGACATGAAAGTGTGTGACGCTATCCCAGGGACCCTATATGTTGTATCTGAAGAAAATGCTGCAATCAATGAGAATCATAGGTTTACTGAACGATTTAATTTTCTCTAAAGAATATTTGCAATAAAAAAGATTTTCATGTCGCCCTACAAACTTGTTGATGAAAACGACCCTTCCACGTGGGTTGCCAAGACAAAAGTGGCCCCGGTAAAATTCACGAAGTGATTCTTGTTTTCCAAAGGTTACGGACGTGATCGACAGTCGATGCCTATGTAAAAAGCGATGACAGGAAGTATTTACTTTGAGTGTTGTCAGTCACTGCTCCTTTCATTTGGAATGCGGAATATTATCGCATTGGCGTCCGGTCAGTGACAGCCGTTTCCACATATTTGTTTATATTTCCGAACGGTGAACAGAGTCAGTCCCGGTTGTTTGGAAAGCTGGTTGGTACAGTATCACGTCTGCCGATACAGGAACGGTATATATGATTCAGGTTTATTTATCAGGAAAAGCACTTTCAAATCATGCAAAGCTCTTTCCCTTTTCCTTTCCACATAAAATACCCATCCTCATAAACCCGTTAATTCCACAAGATCAACAGCGCTAACAGAAATTGAAAGCATTCATCTCAGTGTCCTGATCTGGTCGTCATGACTTTAATTTTTAAAAAACTGAAATTGTTTGAGACACAAGAAAGCAAAGTACTGTATCTCTCGGCTCTCATTGCTGATGGTCCCCTTCGAGAAGTTTTGAAATTCTGCATTTTTTCGCTATCTAAAGTAACGCGTGCACAACGGCGCGCTGATGACGTGTCACAATTTCCGTTTGGTAATTATGACGCACTCACCCAGAAGTTTGAATTAATTTAATTTTGTAGAAATTGTGTTCTGGAACAGACGATCCATATCTGTTGTCTATCTTTTATGTTTGAGTAAATCCCATATCTCAACGACTGCATTGCGCGCTAAAATTTTATTTCACGTCTCTACTCTTTGTTCACCGTCGACAAAGGTAAACTTTCTCTCGTCTTCGACAATTTGAAGAAGGAGTTTCGATTGGTGTCTTCCTTGCCGAAAAAAAAAACTCGATTAACCCTTTCACTCCCAAGATCTGATTGTTAATTCTCCCCTCTAGCTGCTACACATTTTCTTGTAAATTAATTACAAGAATTTGGTGTCAGATCAAGATAACATCTATAAGTCTTAGTATTCTCATTTCCTGTTTGTCGGATAAAGTATTGACATCATGGGGAGGAGTTACATATTAAACACTTCTAGCAGATAAAAGGCTAAGACGGCCCATATACAATACACTCGTGTTATATTAGTGTTCGCCAAATAAAAGAGAAGGTAAGACTTAACCCTATGGAATGCCAACACTGTCTCATGTGATTGTAAATATATTTAAATCATATATATGCATTGCGGTAGAAGAAACGAATATAAGCGATCCTCGCAGTTATGAACACTACTGAACTAGTAGTTGAAATAAGTATACGTAATCACATGATTTCGAGTGCAATTTAAGTAAATTTTTCCAGACTAACAAAATTGCACGAGCCCGTGGGGCGAGTGCAATTTGTGGTCTTTGAAAAAAATTAACAAGTGCTCATTTATTCCAAATTGCACAAGAAAAATCATGTCATTACGTATTAATAGCATTCATGAAAAAATACGAGATAGCTTATCATAGAAGCAAAGCACGCGCATGCATCAAATGGAAAAATAATTTATTCAAATTTGTGCGTTCCGTGTACGATCAAAACAATAATATACAATGATATTTTCACATCTTTAAGGCGCAAAAAAGTTCAAAGTCTGGCTAAACAGTTTAAGGAATTGTTCAGTCTGTGTCCGAGTCACCTTCGATGAAATGGGATGGTCGTTTGCGAGGTTGAACCATGTTTGTTTTTAACTTCGGCGTAGAATTGCTCGAGCAAAGTGTTAAGCTGATTAAGCTCGTAATTTTCGATTTCCTTGGCAATTCCCTTCTCTAAACAACACTTTTTCCAAACCGAAAACCAAAATTCAGTTCTTTTTACAGTGTTTTCGTTGTTAGAGCTGCATCGTTGTTGCGGTGGCAAAAGAAAACCTACTTAAAACACCCGCCATTGTTTCGCTCGCAAATTTTTAGTGTATCCAAATGTTGCGACATCCAAGGTTCGCATTTCACTGGCTATCTGTGAGTTTCTTTGATTATTGACCAATCAGAATGTCTGGTTTGTTACTTCTTTGCACGGAACTAACCCTCTTCTGCATTGGATTACCTGAAAACTGCATTTATCTTAACCAGTCAGAACTGAGTAATTTTTTCATGTATACTATAAAGCCTGAAAAAAAAAAATTCAGGCTCGTAAGGGCCTGAAGGTGATTTCCCATCATTATATGCGGTGCATTTTTCATTATATGCGGTGCATTTGGCATCAAATGCGGTGCTTTTTGAATTGTATGCGGTGAAGTTTCCATCATAAGCGTTACATTACATGCAATGCTTTGTCCAATATATGTGGTGCTTTTTACATTACATGCGATGCTTTTGTCATTGTATGCTCTGGTCAGTATGTGACGCACTTTTTATATTTACTTATAGAGCGGTTTTCATTTGAGTGTCGAAAAGTAATTGGTTTTGCACTTTCTACACGATGCGATTGGCTTAAAAGATTCGCGCCACCTTTTCATCCAATCAGAAGTAAAACCAAAGCCAATTGTGACGNATGTGACGCACTTTTTATATTTACTTATATTTACTTAATATTTATATTTATGTACTTTTTATATGAGGTACTATTTATATTTATATTGTATGTGGTGCAGCAACATAGTTCGTGCACATTTCTCTGAGTCGAATACGGTCACGAATTGTGTTCACTCCTAGGCCGGCCAAATCGCTATCTTTCATAGATAATGCCACTCCTGGGTTTATCCTTTCATTAGAAAAACTCTCTGAGAGGGTTCCCGAGCTCAACTGGTTTAAAATTGAATCCATGATGTCCGTTCGAGCCCTGGAAACAAAACGGCGGATCCTCGGCACCAATTGCATTGTAGGTTTTTATAAGCTCTTACCCAGTTCCCCGTCGAATCTCGACCTCATCCACAATATGAAGAAAGTACCGCATATAATGACAAAAGCACCGCATATAATATAACAAGTACCTCATATAATGACCAAAGTACCACATATAATGACGAAAGCACCACAAATAATAACGAAAGCACTGCATATAACGACAAAAGGACCGCGGATAATGTAAAAAGCACCACATATGTTGGACAAAGCACTGCATATAATGAAAACTTCACCGCATATAATGCAAAATGCACCGCACATAATGAACAATGTACCGCATATAATGATGGGAAATCACTTAAGACAGTGTTAGCGTTCCATATAACCCAAAGCAATATTTGGCATCGTACGAATTTGGACTTGATACAAATAGGTACAGGTGTACTTCGTTTTGTGAAATTTAACCCCAAAAGAACAATATTTTTGATGAGCCATACGTAAATCAGTCAACTGCAAATCTGTTAAGGAGGGAGGAGATTTTTTTCTAAAAATACGAAGGGGAAAGGAAAGTGTTATGCGTAGATCCTACAAGTTTGGATCTAAAAACTGGTACGGTTCTGTTAATGTTTGGAACTAAAAATAACTTATACAGAATCGATCCTCGCAGTTATGAACACTACTGAACTAGTAGATGAAATTTATTTCAACTACAAGTTCAGTAGTGTTCATAACTGCGAGGATCGACTCTATATTCGTTTCTTCAACCGCAGTGTACACATATGATTTTCATATGTTTGTATGTTTTCATATGTTTGTTTATTAAAAATAACTTTGTAAACTTTCAGACAACATGACATCTAAAAAAACTGGTTTGGCTTTTTCTGGTGGTGGCATTCGGTCAGCAGCATTATGCTCTGGAGTCCTGCGCAGGCTGCTAAAGGATAAAGCAAAAGTAGACTACCTGAGCTGCGTGTCAGGGGGTGGTTACACAGGCACATCCTTTCTGGATTGGAAATACAGAAAAGAGAAGAAAACAGTGGACAGCGAAGAATGGCATGAAGAGTTCTTTGACAACATGCGACAAAGAGCAGGTTACTTTTGTAACTGGGAGAAGCCACGTCAAGGAATCGTTGATACAATTGTAATGTTCCTCCTCGTACTGACTGTCACCTTCATTGAACCGATTGTCATATATGGATCATACGCATTTCCACTTGCCTTCATCATCGATTACCTTTTCGGAAAGTTACTTCGAGCCAAAGTGGATTGTGACCAGTTTGCACCAACCCGTACTCCATGTCCAGAAAACGTAGTTTTCTCTAAGATTTCCCTGTTTACGGTTCTGGTCATGTCATTTGTCATCTCCTACATTCTGTCGCAATGGTTATCTAGGAGGAAGTCTAAAAATTTCAGACTTTTCACAATAATTTCCTTCTTACTTCTTTCTCTTACTTTCCTCCCATTTGCAATCAACGATTTTTTCATTAAAATCCCCCTGTGGAGTCGGGCGATCATTGTAGTAATTGGTGTGGTACTATGGTTCGTCCTACCTCTGTTGCGGGACAAAACGTCCTACGGCATTCTAATCTATCTCTACTCTTACATCATCTACTGGAAAGTGTACAAAGCCAAGGTTGTTGGTGTTGTGTATTCTGATGGGCTGTTTAATGGGCTGCTTTTTGCCTCTGGGTTTATCATGTGGTTTGTTCCCTACCTGGCACAATCAAGGAAGAGGCTCGTCCATATCTTCAACAGGTAAGACTCAAAAAGGTAATGTTTATCCGCAGAAAAGAAAGGTAGGGTCGGTACTGCGGCCAAGTGGTCCTCCCAGCCGAAGCTTACCCGGCTATCTTGGCATAACTAGAAGTATTACTAACCCTCCTCTCCCCCCCTCCCCCCCTCAAGAATTTCATCAAGCTTCCTTGACAGTTCGTTGATACCAATTTTTACTCCGGTGTGGAGAGAGGAACCGTAAGCGTTCAGTGTTTTGCCCAAGAACACACCACACTGACCAGGCCAGGTCTCGAACCTAGACCTCTCGATCTCCAGAAGTTTAGCGCACTAACAATTAGGCAACCGCGTATACCTTATCCGCAGAATGATTACTTACTTAATCACTTTTAACTCTACCCCTTTGCAGATGGAGACTTCAGAAGGCATTTTACTCAAAGGAAAATTTAGCTACCAAGGGATGTCTGGAAATACTCCAGGAGATTTTCTGCCCTTTGTGGACATGTCTGAAGAGAAAACAGAAGCGGGATTCTGGTCACAGAGAACAGAGAGGTAGCTTTAATTCTTTGGCGGATGACATTGAGCCAGTAAAGAAAAGATCTTTGAACCTGGCAGATCTCAGAGGCCTAGAGCCTGAATATATATCAAACATCACCATCCACAGCTGGAAGGAAGAGGCAGATTCTGACACGGATGATGATCTCCTGACAATGTCGCCTACCACAATAGAGCGCTTAGATCGAGGTCCATCGACTGTCGATCCATTCAAGGATAGGCTGAGGCCTCGAGATATAGAGTTGTCAGACGCCATGGCAACGTCTGCAGCAGCAATTTCCGGGTACGGTGATAACCTTCAGGAATTGCGCGTTGCCACGATTCTTGGACTCGAAATGGGAGCCACAGTGATCAGCAACCTCGAGGCAATTAAAAAGGAGGGATGGCTCATGAAGGTAAGAGGTTGCTCAACCAGGGATCAGAAAAGTTACATCTTACAATAACTACTGAAGGACTGCTGAGAGTTATGGTCTTCTCAGGGAGTTTCTTTCTAAGCATGATATTCGTTTGGATTCCTGTATGGTACGAAACGCATGGAGTCACGTCAACTCTAGTCGACGAGACTGCCTTCTCCTCCCCCTTCGAATCCCCCCTCCGTTCTAAAAATACCTTAGTGTCCCAAAAGTCCCCCTTGACACCTCTCATCGGTCGTTGCCAACTGATTATAAAGGACAAACATTGCCTGTCAGAGAATGTTACAGAGCCTTATGGGAAGATCTGGTAAACGTTATTGTGATACTACCAAAATCTACCAACCCCTGATAAATAATGACTGATCCCTAAGCATGATATTTCCTCGGCAAGTACATATCATGTTTAAACAGAGTAACAGTAAGGTAACCTCCTTGACTCTGTCATTAATTAATGCTTTAGGCTTGCATGTATCTTTTTCTCTCTACAACAGCTCCTCCCAATTCTCATCAACATTCTCCGTGGTCTTCCATTGATCGCTGTACCAGCGGTTTACTATAGCGGAGGACATGTGTGGTCAATTAAAGCGGGAGTATTCACATTCTTTGCAATTCACTTCATGTTGGCTTGTATTGGAGCTCTCGCTGATACAGGAGCTCCGAACCCAAACTTATGGGGGAAGATAGCCAGGTAAGGATTGTATAAATATGAGCACCTTACGATGGTGTGGATAGACCCACATCAAAATACTCAAAAATGCCAATCTGAACAATGGGAAATATCCGGAGGAGCACGGGAGAGCTCGTGGTAAATTGCTCAATGCAATCAGCCTCAAGGGCAGGAAAAATGAGCAGGACAACATTGGTCTTCCTAGCTGTTTGGTTCAGAAGGTGGTCCAGGGTATTGAGTAAAACCAAAGAAATTCTTGTATTCCTTTGGAACTCCACTGGAGTCACTCTAAATGATAAGATGAAGAAACCCAAAACGTCCATTCCTCAATTATGGTGACCAGGTTAATCCTGATCAGAAGTTAATTGAAATGAAAGCTTTCTGTAATTATATATAAAATATATGATCATTGTGTTTACTTTGTAAATCTTCACACGACTTGAGCCCACTCGAATCACGGAGAGTGGTAAAATTCTCGGTCACTCACAGTTTGGAAAAGACCATTTTTCAGATAAACTGTCCTTCTTTATATGTATATATTTGGCTCTGACGATGAGCTAACGCTCGAACCGAAGAATCTCTTTATGGTGGCCCATTTACATTATCAACTCAGTTGACAAAACCAAATCATCTTGTAATACCCACCACCGATGCAGCATCACAGTTTCTTTGGAAAATTACCCCCTTTAAACAAATATATATTATGTTTTTAACCTAGGTGGTTCATCGTGCACGTTTCCTTTGTGAAGTTCGTGAGAGAAGGCCTTAACATTGACAGCATCGGACCCATGCCTCCTCCCGTCATGCTACTTAGCGATGGAGGCCACGTGGAAAATCTTGCCATTTTGCCATTGTTAAAGAAGAAACTCAAGAAAATTATTGTGGTGGATGGCAGTTGCTATTCCAATGAGAAGACTTATGGAGAAGAACTACTGAAAGCACTGATGCTGGCTCGTAGAGACCTGAACTGTTCATTTATTGGCCAGGGCGGTCGTGACGTCATTTCAGACCTGTTGGAGAATTTCGTGAAGCTTCAGCAACCAGATGAAAGAAAACCCCGACATTTCAGGTACGTGTCTATGATCCTTTCCGTAATTTACTACCACCTCTTCTTTGTCGTCAAGCGCCGCTTTAAACAAGACACCTGACAAGACTACCGACACCTGATTACACTCAATCAGGGAAAGCACTGGTTTTTCGAGTGGGAGGTGGGAATAAGGGGAAGTACGACCTTGAGTTGGCGCAAGAGAAAAATGAGGTCCCATTTTTTTCTTTTGATTTGGGATAGCGAGTCTATTCTTGGTTATCGGATCCATGCCAAGGTTTGTGTATCGTGTGAAGCTTGGACCGAGTTCACCATTTGCAGTTATCTTCAGCTAATCTTTTTTCCTTCTTGGTGTATCACTGCCTGTTTTATAGTTTTGTATCTTGTCAAAGTACTACATCGTTTTCTCTTTTAAGATGAAAGACGTTCTACACCACATAAATTAAATGGCATAAATTCAATGTAAGCTAGAGGCTCTTAAAATTCAAACATGCTTATAATCTCTTGCTTCAAAACAATAATTTTTAATCTATTGTTTCTTTTTTTTCGCTAGATTTAACGTTGAATACTACGAAAACGACCACAAAGTTGGTGAAGGCGAAATTTTGCTCATTCGGCCAAGAGATCCGCGAAAAGGTTAAAAGAGCGAGGTCAAAACCTGGGAAGAGTTTGGTTTCCATCTGGACGCACGTGACTGGGGGAATAGTCCATTTCTGAACGAAGAAGACGTCGGCAAGTTGACCTTCTGTTGTTGTGCATGTTGTAACAAAAAGTCCTATTTGAGCGGTTTGTCTGAGCTCCTCTGCCACAAGTTCCCGAATCATAGTACAGCTAATCAATTCTTCACGCCTTTAATGTTCTCCGCCTATCATCGTGAAGGCTTCCGAGCATGCGTCGAAGCGGAAGCTGCTGAATTTCTCAAGGATAACCACGATGTCCTTGAGGTGTGACTATTACTCATCTGAGTGTGAGTGTATGTGGCTAACCCCTTAATAACCAAACATGTACGCAAAAAAAAGTTTGGCTTGTCTGTTGAGTACTGATTGATTAGGAATATTGGAAATCGTTCCATAGCAAATAGAGCTGACTTGTTCAGACAGCAGAAAGATTTCTTCATTTCTATTTTTATCACTATGTGGACCTGATATTGTACAACGTTTAAAACAACGTATTGTACAACGTATCCTTAACTGTAGTCGTCAAGAAACGCTGAATAGAAATTAAATATCCTTGTCTTTGGTGTTCCGTCGTCCTTTGCTCCAGAGTTTAATACATCTCTTGGGCTTCCTCACCCGATTCGCTCGTAACTAGCCGCTTACATGCGAATATAATTAGCATCAAATTAATGTAGTTACTAAAACAAGGAATGGCCTAAAATGACCAAATATGATCTTAAATGACCTTGAGTGATGTCTAAAATGACCTAAAATGACCTGAAATAACCTTGACTGATGTCTTGACCTAAAATGATCGAAAATAACCTACACTGATTACTAAAATAAAGTAAAATGACTTAAAATGACGTTTAAACTTTACTGGAGCAATTAAAAATAATAATTGCCAGCGATATACAACAGAAAAACAGAACTGAATGCGCAAGCCGAGTGCTTACCTTAACGGCAGAGACGCGGAACTCAGGTTATATGCATTAAAACGTATCATGAAATATGAAAGAAATATATATTCTAAAAAATACAAATAGCACAGACTATGTCAACATAAAAGTTTCACCATAGACCCGATCATGTCAGTCAGGTGTCGGTAGTCTTGTCAGGTGTCTTGTTTAAAGCGGCGCTCGACAACAAAGAAGAGATGGTAGTAAATTACGGAAAGGATCATAGACACATACCTGAAATGTCGGGGTTTTTTTTCATTTGGTTGCTGAAGCTTCACGAAAATTTACAAATAATCCATAGAGATGCACGTTTCTCCATCTTGCGACAGAGAATTACAACCAACTCTTTCAAAGTGACGCAAATAAATTAAAGACGAATTGTCAGATTTGGATTACTTTGACAGAAAAACATAATTCCCCTAAACATTGTTCTGTATCGAAGAAATGGAAACTGCTTTCTTAAGATATGTATGTACTTATGTACATGTAGTATGCTATCAACTTCCTGGTTATATGGTCGAACATTTTAACATACAATAGTAAAAGGAACTGTGGGTGTACACTTTATAAGTCAATCTTACCTGCCATTGTGAGTTTCTATTAACTTTTGAAAGGCGTGGGGAAGGTACAAGATATTTTTCCGGCCGGTGGGTTAACATCAGGAATATGGTCAGCAAAGATCTCAGGCTCCGGTGAGTTCTGCCCTTCTCTTTTTTTCTGACGCTGCCTCTCTGGACTCCAACAGTTCCACTTCATGTGATCAGTGATCAACGTAAAAATGGTCGTCTTAACCCAAACCATGAATGGTTCTGGCTTCCTCGATGTAGAATTCTTCTGACCCCGTTTGAAGTTCTGCACTCACATCAGCAACTTCGTTTAGTTTAGGATCTCGCATTCTCAAAGCCTCTTCTTCTGAAGCTTGTACTTCAGTTCCAATCCGCTGGTATAGAAGCATCCTTCAATACCAAGACTTTGTCTTGCAGACATAGTAAGGGAGTCCTTGAATTGCTGTGACCTAGTTTTTTAAAACCATTCGTGAAAACTAGGGGCTGCTTTTTCCCAGACGCTTTGAGGCTGTCAAGTTTTACAATAATATCGTCTTCGTCCTTCCCGTCCGCTAGTCCACTGCGAGGGAGCACATAGATTTGGGATCCATAGATATCCGCCATTATTGGAGAGTATTGATGCTCCACCGTTTTAGGCAATGACATTTTGTAGCAACTGTATATTTTTTTGCATATTATTCACTCATCTTTCTGTATTAGGTGTATATTAGTTCAAATTCCAGGAGCTCCGGCTCTGGTCCTGTAGAGGACTAATTTGAACTAGTTTGAATTGTCGAAATCAGTATTGGAAATAAGGGAAATTTGCAGGGGTCTTTTCACATACTTCCTACATGGAGAGCGCCAAAAGCGTCAACAAAACAGGAACAACGGAAGATTGAATGATCGCGAACGAAAGAGGGTGATTAAGAGAAAATATGCGGTGGGTGGACCTCTATTGAATTCCCCTCTTCTTCAGGACCGAAAAATCCCATCAGCCAAAAGGCGCGGCATGCGATAAGCAAGCTCGCCGAAATTACGCCTGCTCTGCAGGTTAAGCGAAACTTGGAACTTCGCATCGATCAAATCCGCGTTGCTGAAAAACTAGGCATTTCGCACTAAGCAAAACCGTTTAGTTATTATCGGAAAGTTAATTCCTCAGGAATTTCCCGCGTTGTTCACGCACCTCTACGTTTCAGTCTTAGTTTAAGTTAGCACTCGATTGTGTAATTCCAAAAAAATTCAAAAAAAAAATCCGGCTGGGTTTCTTTTTTCACTGCATGGTCAAATGGCAAAGCTAGCCAGTTGGAATGTGTAAAATCCTTATCGATTTTGATAAACACTGGCGGCTGGATTGATTAGAAGCAAATAATCCTGTGCTTTCCTGAAAAAAGAAAACCTGTGGAATTCATTTCCGCATATCTTTAATTTCACTCTGTCAAAAAAGACTAGCGATCAAATTAAGAGCGTTCTAAGATATTTTCGTTTCGAGGCAGAAAACCTATCAGAAACAAGCTGAAGAAAACCCTGTAAACAAATATTATTGCGTTACAATGCAAATATTCATTGAGCTACTGTGAAGCGCAACGTGACATGAATTGGTAAATAGTAGAATTTGGCTTGTGCAGGCGAAGAAAGATTTGATTTGGATTCCAGCGGCTGAATTTTTATCGAATTTTGCAAATTCGATAAACGCAGGATACTATTCTGTGGTCTTTTTGTAGGTTATATATAAGTTCATCATTCTGCGGAGTTGGATGTTTACCATACTTGAGGATCTCTTCGTGATTTTCCGGAAGTTTGCCTTTTGAAATAGGAGCAACCTTGCATTGCTGCAAGACCAATAATTACCCGGGATTTCCAAGGGAAACGCCCGAGTTGAAATTCATGTTTCATCTGTAGGTTAAGTGTTTTATGCACGAGTTGGCCATAGGTATTCTTTGATTAGATAAAGGTGATAATCGTTAATAATGTAGGTTGCGCTTTTTTCAAGCGAAGCGTACGTTTTTGTATGATTAACGATGAAATACGTGATAAAATCTACAGAATAAGTTCTTACCTTACGTAAGGTTTATTGTGAAATTGACGCCGCCCAATGGTCTCGAAATATCACAAAAAATATATAAAATATCACAAAATTAACTACAAATCGCCAGGAAATTAATCAGTATAGTATTTTAGTTGTATCTTTTAGTGTGTACAGCATGTTTTCGTACCTATTGCCGTTCTTGATAAACAAATTATGGCGGCTGAACATATGCGTCCTTAAAGGAGAGAAGTCGATGTCAGCGGAGGTGGAAATTGTTTTTACCGACCTGTTGCACTTAGGAGGGATGAAACAGGCGATGAGAAACACGAGGAGATCAGGAGGTCGAGTTCCAGTTTTTTCCAGAAAAATCCAAGGGTTTCTAGGCTCCTACCCTTCGTCACGGTTTCTTCAACACTACAAGTTTCCATGGTGATTTCTTCGGCTGATAGAACTGATTAATCATTGCAGTTTAATGTAACTGCACAATAGAGTACTAAAGTGTGACGTCATAAAAATGAAATTTGTGAAATTATGGGATTTGTCAGGACATTCTGAAAGAACAATGTCTAAGAGGCCTACTTGCCAAAAATGAGCATTTGGGGGCAAATTGTCTGTGAGATCGTAGCCCAGTTATGCTTACAAAACTCCATACAAACCCTTCTAAATTTTTTTTGGGTCGACCCAAAAAAAAATTAGAAGGGTTTGTATGGAGTTTTCCGAGTNCGAACTTTGACCGCTTGTCGGGTTAATTTAATGCTAATTAAATTCACATGTAAACGGTTAATGTTCTTAATATTACGAGCGAATCGGGTGGTTTCCTTTGCTTGTTATGGTGAAGACATCGATGTTCAAGAGATATGCAAACATGGCGACCAGAGCGTGGAGGATTCCGCAACTCATCCGTAACATATACACTACACGAGTTTCGGCTTTTTGGAAAAAATATTACAGTTCCTCTGCCACTCCCAGATAAACTGCATGATCTGATATACGCTTTTCGTGAATCCAAAGTGCTTTTTTTGCAGCATGTGATTTGGGTATCTTCGATATCCTTCAAGATTCCGATGCTCCGCAGTCGGTCGCAGACATGTCTTCAAAGATTGGATCCAATGCTGATGCCACAGCTTGCTTCATGGACACATTGGTTGCTCTGGAATTGCTGGAAAAGACTAAGCAAGATGGATCATGGCTGTATTCAAACAGTAATATAGCAAAACAGTTTCTGACAAAGTCGAGTCCCCATTCGGTTTATGGGTACATAATTATAAAACACTCCAATGAAGTGATCTATTCCAACTTCGGGAACTAAGAGAGTGCAATTCGTGAAGGATCGAATCAGTGGATGAGAACATTCAACCTGTCGTCGGAGGACTTTTTTAAATCTTCATATAACACCGAGGAGGACCGCATACGATTTCAATCTGCTATGCATTCCACGTCACGGCACTTCTGTCACGCCGTGGTGACGGCGTTTGACTTAAGTTCATTTGAAAATTGTTCTGACTTAGGAGGTGGGATATATTTTGCAGATTATAATTACCGTACAACTACTTATTATAACGGTCGAATTGTTCACTAATCTCACTCGGAGCTTTGCGTAAGCCTAGTTCAGGAAAATTGTGCACCAGGGCATGGCATAGCTAAAAGGAAAAGAACCTTCCCTCTCCTCCCCATCTAGCACTTGAATGCCCCCCCCGCACACTGCTATGAAAAACTAATGGTGCAGAGCAATCTGCTACCCATATCCCCCCCCCCTTCTCAACACCATACACTGACAGATCTGCATCAAACAAAATTATCCCTATCAGTGCTTGGGGTGTCTGACTGTCTGACAGCTGAAAGCTGAAACAGTATAACATCAAAGACGGCAACAACAATACTGAAAATAACAACAATAATAATAAATGATGTTAAACAATGATACTGATAGTGACAGGGACAAAACTCATAAAGTAGTCGACCACTCCTTCAGTGAGACTTTCGAGGTCCATTGTAACTAAAGATATTCAAGACTTGACCCCAAGTTAGATTTGCAGGCAGTAGATGGCAAGTAAGTAACAACCTCATAAGTATCAGGGCGAAGGGCTTATCCCCAGAACCATCAGATTACAAGGGCAGCTCCACATCCACAAAGGAAAACTGCTTCTTATGAATTTTCTCACTCTGTAAATTTCTCTTTTAACACCTAGGTGGAATGGGAACAATGGCTTACACTTTATGCCAATACTACCCAAACATGAAGATCACAGTGTGTGAAGTGCAGTCTGTTGTGGACTCTGCCCATCATTTTCATCCCCCGTTAGAAGATTACCCCAATCAACGAAACATCTCATACGTAGTAGGAAATTTCTTCCAAGCAGATCTGCCAAAGGCTGATTTGTATATATTGTCACGTATTCTTCACGACTGGCCAATTGAAAAAGTGGAACTTATACTCTCAAATGTCATCAAGTGTTTGCCTTCAGGTACGTATCTTGCTTTGCTTGCTGGGATATATAATGGTAATTGAACTGAGTGGGGTGCAATTTGGACTGAAATCATAAGCATGATTCCAAAATTGAACAAGCGTGCAGCAAGAGTTGGTTTTCATTTTTTCATTTCAGACCAAAATTGCATGGCATGAAGTATAATTTTCACTTTATTACATCCTTCTTGAAATCCCAGAATTCTAGTGCTCAAATACAGGTTTCTTAGTCTATTCAATTATTTTACTTATCCAGCATTAAGCAGGTTAGTAAAAAGTTACCAAAATTGACTTTTATTTTCCTGAAATTAATTGGTTTCTTTAACCGAGCCTTGAAATCTGATTGGGTGTTGTGTTTTACTAAAGCTCTCTCACTGCCTGGGAAAAGGATGCAATTTAGAGCATTAAATGTTGTGTTTCATGAATAAACCGCAGTGATATAGCCAATCAGATTTCAAGGACATTGATTTTAAAATAGATGTAATATATCTATATACATTACAACCTTACCCATAGCTTACATTTAATTTTGCATCATGGCAATACCCTGTTGTTAGCCTGGGAGAACTTGGGATTAACTCAAAATAGCTTTAACCCTTAAACTCCCACATCAAATTTGTACTTCTCCTAATTCTGAGAGAAATTCTGTCTTGGTCACTCACAGGAGTAATAGGGTTAAAACAGGTTGCATACAAAACTCAAGAGAAAATCATTCTTTGTCATTCAAAAACAACTTATTCAAAAAGTTCAGAAATAATATATATTCACACTTTAACCCTTTTAAGCCCTAAGATCTGATTGTCAGTTCTCCCTTCTAACTGCTACATATTTCCTTGTAAATTAGGTATGAGAATTTGGTGTTAGATTAAGATTTCAACTAGTTTGAGTATTCTCATGACCTGTTTACTGGATAATGTATGGATATTATATATCACTTAAGGGTTTAAGGGTCAACAGCTCAATAAAAAGAGAGTATATCCTTAAGCCATATCATATAATCTGCCAGTGATTGTCACAGAAAAATTGCAGTCAATTTTTACAAACTCAATTTTTTATATAGATCACTATTTTTGCCATAAAATTCAAGTATAAAAGCAACAGTCTCAACCCTTTAACTCTTTAATCCCCAAGATCTTAATGTTTATTCTCCCTTCTAGCTGCCATACATGTCCTTGCAAATCAGGTACAAGAATTTGGTGCTAGATCAAGAAAGCAACTTTCACCTGAGAAATTTGAATATTCTCATTACATGTTTGCTAGATATATGTATGGATATTTTAGGGAGAAGTTTCATGTTAATCACTTCTGGGAGTTAAAGGGTTAAAGCCTGAGTGACTAGCATCTAATTTCTCCTTACAAAATCACCCATGAATCAAACATTAAGGTAATGAGAATAGAGGAAATGATCACCAACTAAAGCAGCTTTTGATTATCAAACAAATCCTCTTTGTCAGCACCTTGGGAAGTGTGTAGTGAATCGTTTGGAGAATATGGATACTGATGTCAATAATTTTGCTTCTGAACATTCTGGACATGTTTACTTATCCGATGGAACTGGAAAAGTAGATTTTCTAGACTGTGTATTCAGCTCGACAGTAAAAAACGTGAAATTTAACGGTACGACGTTTCGAAAGTCAGCCTTCGTGCATTCAGTTAGTGGAGGACCAGTTGGTCTCAAAATACAACGTTGAACTCTTTTATAATAGAAAAAGATGTGTATCCCGTGTCTGGCATCTCTAGTCTAGGTTCCGTTCACATGGATAATAACTCGATCATTCAGTGCCCCCCTGGTTGCAGGCTTTTGCTGGACAATTCTTCGCATTTTGCTCACTCTGAATACAATGGTAGCTTTTGTCGAATAAATGTTACTGTTCTGAAGTACTCTTGCCTGCGCTGCCCTACAGGTTTTTACAGCATTTCACGTGCAACCTCTCGAGGACTGATATTGAACAGAACAGTAAAATGTCAGCGATGCCCGTTCGGTGCCAATTGTGTCGAAAGAAATATAGTAGCCAAACCAAACTTTTGGGGTCATCTAAATGGTTCATCTGACCCACCATCACTGACGTTCACTGCCTGTCCAGAGCATTATTGTCGAAGTCCAGGCCCAGGCGCAAACGGTTATAACAGTTGCTCAGGGAACAGAAGAGGAATTTTGTGTGGTGAATGCATTCCAGGATACAGTGTAACTCTTTTCTCACCAGAATGTCGTAAGGATGAAGAATGTGACAACTGTTGGTTCTGGGTATTGACATTCTTATTAACGATTATGTTATCGTTATACCTATTAAGAAAACCCCCTACTCTAAGCTTTCTCGTCAATCAGATTATTTGGTTTAGAAAGAAAGAAAGCCAACGGGACGACAGCGCGTCACATCAACACGATCCCCACACAGATAACGCCTACATAAAAATAACTTTTTATTTCTATCAAGCTGCTGAACTTTTGATTGTTGGATGCAAAGAATGCCTTCTGAAAAAGGTGCCATACATGTATGCAGTTACCGCCGCGTTCAACTTTAAACTACGCACCCTCAATGAAGGTTTGGGCTGCCCTTTTGCTGGGCTAACATCTGTGACAAAGCAATTGGTTCTTTCTGGTACCGTTTTCTTGACAATGGCTGACATCGCTCTCATTTATTTCGTCCATTGTGTTATCAACATGATAACGCGCAACCAGAAGCCATCCCTTTTCCATTACATGGCCGTCATCATAGAAGTGTTGCTGTTAGGTTACGAAAGACTGGCTGAAACTTGCCTCAAACTGATGACCTCTGTCTCAATCGGATCTGAAATGCGGCTTTTTATCGATGCAAATGTTACATGCATGCAGTGGTGGCAGTATCTCGTTCTCGCCTGCATTGCGGTGTTTATTGTCCCCTTCATTATTGTTCTTTACTTCGGATCATCCAAGCTTTACAAGGCTTCAATAACGGCGACTGAATTTCTTGCTGCGTGCGTGCTTCCATTGCCATTTCTTGTCTATTGGCTTCGTAAGAAAGCCCAGAAACAACCTGGGAATGAGTCTCTTGAAGCAAAAGTTGTTAACAAAGATGTCATGGAAGTACTTCATGGTCCTTTCCGTCCACCTAAGAGCGACGATAAAGGGACACTCTACTGGGAGAGCGTGCTGATTGGCCGAAGATTCATTCTCCTAGCTTGTCACTCGTTTATAACAAGCCCAATGCTGCGAATGATCGCCATGGCTACAGCTTGCACTCTGATAGCGCTCCACCATGTATCAAAGAATCCATTTCGAGATCCAATGGCCAACGGAGCCGAGACATTGTCCCTTACTGCTTTGATAGTAATTTCCTTTATCAATCTTACCAAGGCAACCCTGATATCATTTGGCATCACAATCACCGGGCCTTACAAATATTATCTGGAAACCATGGAGTGGTTTGAGGTTGGCGCGCTGGCTGCCGTGCCGGTTACACTGTCTGTTTTGGTCATTAGTGCCATTCTACTCCCAGTTCGTCCGGGCTTTGTTTTTCCTTTTGGAGCAAGCTGCTAGATGTTGTTATTGGCATGGCAGTGCTCATTGGTCCAAAAAGGAAGAAAGAAAGCCCCTCTTGGATTATACTCGTTGAGAACTTAGAAGAAACTTCTGAACACAGTTAAGGTTGTACGTTTGAACAAATATTCTTCCCATAATTAATAACAAACCATTTTTAATTTCAAATTAAATATTTAATGAAAAAACATTAACTAATCGAAGAAAATCGCAGCTTTATTTCACTAAGAAAATGAAAATGAAACTAAAGTGAACTTTCCACAAACTGATATTTTACTTGATCTTTTGGAATCAGTGTGGATCGTTACAAAATCATCCACTTAGTTTTGTTATTAATTGTTTTCAGTATTTGTTATTAATTGTTTTCAGTATGGGCAATTTTGTAGTTCTTGCTCGGATCACAAAAGTGTAATTAAGTCGTCCGCATTAACAAAAGAGTTTGGTGCTATTTAGTAATAAAAAATGGATGAAATAACATGTTAATAAAGAAGAAAGCTTAGCCATCGCTGGCATAGTTCTTTTTAGGTTGCTGTTGCAGTAGTCGTCAGCTTTGTTAAATTCTTTAAATGCGAAGGGTAGAAGTGTAGTAACATGAAGTACTAACTGACCGCTGACCGGCGGGAGAGCTGTCATTCGAGAGAGCTGTATGAATCTATCGTATTAAAGTATGTTGTGTTGATGCTGTCGTCTCTGTACCTCTTCGGACTCAACATGGTGTCAGAAGCGTGACCTTCCTACTAGCCTACAGTTGCGGAGATCAAACCAATCGGAGAAACGGATCAAATACTGACGAATTGACCGGTCAAACTTCACGCGGATCCTACGCACGTGGTTCAAAACAAGATGGCGGAAAGCATGCCATTCGCCAAACCACCGGAACCGCTGGAAATTTCGATGGGAAATCCTGCTCACTCGTGGGGAAAATGGAAACAAAAATTCGAAATTTACCTCAAGGCAATTGGAGCTTCAAAGAAACCCGATGAAATGAAAGTGGGGCTGCTATTAAACCACATCGGCGAGCCGTGTTTGGAAATTTACTCGAATTTCACCTACCTACCTGAGCGTGACGACCCCGCGGGAGGAGAAGAGAAACTTCCAGCCGAAGACTCCGACAACTACGCGACCGTTGTGGCAAAGTTTGATGAATACTTTCAAAAACGGGACCCTCAACTCATGCTGCGAGAGAAATTTTGGCTTCACCTTAAACGAGAGCCCACACAGACCTTTGATTCGTGGGTGGTGACTGTCAAGGAAAGAGCCGCCGAGTGCAAGTTCCCAGCCGATTTCTATGAGCAAGCAGTTAGAGACAAACTTACCTTTTCCTGCAAGGAAGACAATTACAAGCTAAAACTCTATGACGAGGGAGCAGCCCTTTCACTCGAAAAGGCAGTGAAAATCCTGTCTTTGAAGGAAGCAACAAAACGTGAGTTACACGAATCAAAAACCGCAGAGATTGAGAGCGTCACACCGCGAGGGAACAGGCAAGACCCTCATGCTGGTCAAGATACAGAGCAAAGGAACCAGCGAGACTTCAAGAGGAAGCCCTTCCAAACAAGTGGCCGGAACTGTGGGTATTGCAACCGCCGACACCCCCCTGGCAAGAAGAACTGCCCAGCGGCAGATACACGATGCAGCAAGTGCAACAAAATGGGACATTTCCCTATCATATGCAAGAGTGTACCTCCAAGGACGGTCAACGAAGTTCTTGAAACCGAGGATAACTTTAGCCTCACATTTGTGGGAGGGGTTTATACACCCACTAGTCCAAACACCTCCAAGGCCGAACCAGCAATAAACTCTCAAACCAGTAGGTCCGACCCTGGATGGCATGTCAACCTCAAGATTCAAGACCAAGAGACGCTGGCATGGTGCATCGACACAGGAGCACAAGTGTCTGTGATGCCTGAGCACATCTACAAGTCTTCATATGGAACACTTTCAAAATCTGACAGAGAACTTGTCGGAGCAGGGGATGTTCCTTTAAAGACCCTTGGATGTGCAGTCATGAACCTCCAACAAGACGAAACAGTCATTAAAGAACGAGTGTACGTAGTCAGTGGGGCATCCAAGTTGCTTCTGGGGATACCCGCCATCCGAAGTCTTGGTCTTATCCATGAAATCCCTGGGACATACAGTGTTAAAGCTGTCCATCAAATGCCTGATAGCCATCCACTCCACTCAGGGACCAAGGAGGACATTGTCAAGCAGTACCCATCACTTTTTCAAGGCCTTGGCAAATTGGAGGGTGAGCATACAATTCAATTGAAGGAAGGGGCCACACCCTTTTGTTTGACCACTCCCAGGCGAGTACCACTGCCACTAATGAAGCAAGTGCAAGAGGAGATCAAGCGTATGGAACAACTGGACGTTATTGAACCAGTGGATGAGCCGACAGAATGGTGTTCACCGATTGTGGTAGTGCCAAAGGCCGATGGCAGGGTGCGGATATGTGTTGATCTTACCAGGCTTAACCAAGCGGTCCGCCGAGAAGTCTATCAAATGCCAACAGTTGAAGAGACCCTGGGAAGCCTAACAGAAGGCTCAGTATTCTCCAAACTTGATGCCAACTCAGGGTTTCATCAGATAGTCCTAAACCCAGAAAGTGCCAAGCTAACTACCTTTATCACGCCCTTCGGCCGTTACATGTTCAAGCGTCTTCCCTTCGGCATATCCTCAGCCCCAGAACATTTCCAAAAGAGGATGGACAAAGAACTCTCTGGAATAGAAGGGGTCAAGTGCCGCATGGATGATATTCTAATCATCGGGAAAGACCAAGCGGAACATGACAAACGACTTAAGCAAGTCCTTGACAGGCTAGTCGAGAGGAAACTCACACTCAACCTTGAGAAGTGTTTATTTTCTCAATCCAGGTTGCAATACTTGGGCCAAATCATTGACAGTGATGGAATCAGGAAAGACCCCTCCAAGATCAAAGCCATCACCGACATGGCAGAACCCCAGAACATTGCAGACCTGAGACGTTTCCTGGGTTTGGTCAACCACCTTATGAAGTTCTGCCCAAATCTGGCTGAGACGACGAAACCCTTAAGAGACTTGCTCAAGAAGGAGAACGCGTGGGTGTGGGGCACAGCCCAACAAGAAGCCTTCCGACAGCTGAAAGTAGACATGGCATCCGACCAAGTTCTTGCACTGTACGATCCAGAGAAGGAGACCGTGGTCTCATCTGATGCCAGCAGTTTTGGACTTGGTGCGGTCCTCGTGCAGAAGCAGCCGTCCGGTGAAATGAGGCCAGTGGCTTATGCTAGCAGATCAATGACCGAGACAGAGCGTCGTTATGCCCAGATCGAAAAAGAGGCCTTGGCTATCACATGGGCACTTGAACACTGGGCTGAATTCTTGATCGGAATGAGATTTAAAGTGGAAACCGATCACAAGCCATTGATTCCATTGTTTTCCACAAAGCTGATTGACGAGCTACCAGTACGCATACAACGCTTCAGGATGAGACTCATGAGATTTGACTTTGCCATCGCACATGTTCCTGGTAAACTCTTGTACACAGCTGATTCATTGTCTCGATCCCCCCAGGAGGGTAAAGCCCAGGAGCCTAAGTCATGGGACGACCTACATGACGAAGTCGAGTGCTATGTGAATGCTGTATTGGTAACCCTACCTGCCTCCGACCAGCGGTTAGATGAGATACGTTCTGAGTTGAAGAGTGATGACACACTTAAAACTGTGATGCAGTATGTGCAGAATGGATGGCCTGAAGAGAAACGAAGAGTCCACGGGCCAATAGCTAAATACTGGAGTGAACGTGGCAACATCTCCCTCCACGACGGCCTGCTCCTGAGAGGACGACGAATCATTATTCCTCCGAGGCTGCGGGCAGATGTATTAAGGCGTCTTCATGATGGTCATCAAGGAATTACCAAAACACGTGCAAATGCGGCCTCCTCAGTGTGGTGGCCTGGAATCTCCCAAGACATCACAAGAGTCGTGCAGAACTGCGCCATGTGCGAGAAATATCGCAGAGAACGCATTGAGCCAATGAAAGGTACTGAGTTTCCAGAACGACCGTGGAGCAGAGTTGGCGTAGACTTCTTTCAGCACAAGGATAAACATTACCTCCTAGCCGTAGATTACTTTTCAAGAGATGTAGAGATAAGTCAAGTGTCCAAGAATGTAAACTCTGCCCAGACTATCCTGCAACTTAAGAAGATCTTCAGTCGACATGGGATTCCAGACATCTTATTTAGCGACAATGGCCCCCAGTTTGATTCACACGAGTTCACTAACTTTTCCACAGACTGGCAGTTTCAACACATAACATCGTCTCCAAGATACCCCCAGTCCAACGGTGAAGTGGAAAGGGCGGTCCAAACTATGAAGGCGGTCTTGAATAAGAGTAATGACGAATACTTGGCTCTCCTGAATTACAGAGATACTCCATTGCACCACGGTTACTCTCCAGCACAATTGAGCATGGGTCGGAAACTTCGTACAAGAGTCCCCTGTCACCCGGAGGAGCTAAAGCCAGAGACCCCAGACCGTGATCACATCAGAAGGAAAGAGAAGGAGTACCGAGCTAAGATGAAATTCGATTATGACCATAGACACAAAGTAGTAGAGGGAAAGGAACTGTCACCCGGTGACCGCATTTGGATCCCCGATTTAAAAGAGGAAGGAACAGTGATTAAGCCACACGAGAGTCCAAGATCTGTAATCATACAGACCCAAAACGGACAAGTGAGAAGAAACCGCCGGATGACAAGAAGAGTTCTGGTGGGAAGTTCTCCGGTCCCACCCCAGAATGAAGACTATGAGAATCATGAGCCGATACCAACAAGAGAGAGGAACCCAGACGTATCCTCAGCTCCTGGAGCCAGCCAAGAAGATTATGTAGAACTACCTGTCCCTGGGGACCAACCAGCAGTGGACAAGCCCTTGCAGCCTGAACCGATGCTGACACGCCTTAGACCTAGAGGAGCTCTAAGAAGACCGGACAGACTTATCGAACAATGCTAAGATTAGTTTCACTTTAGGACACTGGAGAACTGCGTTGTCCTTATTGACATTTAGTTAACTTAAAAAAAAAGGAAGATGTAGTAACATGAAGTACTAACTGACCGCTGACCGGCGGGAGAGCTGTCATTCGAGAGAGCTGTATGAATCTATCGTATTAAAGTATGTTGTGTTGATGCTGTCGTCTCTGTACCTCTTCGGACTCAACAAGAAGCACCTTCCAAGATCGATACACCTCCACCCTATGCACTTCCCCCACCCCACCCCATCTTATTATCCTAATTTTAGGAGATAGAGCCCTCTCCGATTCGGACAAAAGTGGACAACTTGTCTTGCGCAATTAGCTCTCCTTCCCTATCCAGTCGACGCAAAAAGGGCTAGATATCACGCCTTCATACATCACTTGAGTTTTTTTACTATTGGTAAGTTTAATCCTCGAGTTTATCTCACTACGCAGGTTTTAATGCAAGATTTTTAATGAAAAAAAAAAAAAACACTTCAAGCACAATGTAATTGTTTTATTATGTTTGTTATCTTTATCCACTGATCAAATTTTGAATAAAGGGAGAGTGAAAGGCACCCACTGAAAACAGGAAGCGAGACACTTTCAATTGGTATTTATCGTTTCATATTTACTTTTCAACATGGACCTTACGCCTTGTGCCGTGAACCGATAACAGTGGACGGGTATATCGCACTCCATAGAAGTGGTTGCTTAAAATGGTCCAAAGTAATAAATCAAGAATCCCACGCGTGTGTTTATATTTCAATATTAAATTACATAAGTTAGAAGCAGCGGTACATTACATATGGTAAGATTGCTGAACGCTTCTCAAGATAATAATCAGTCACTTCATATCTAATATCTGTCGTTTATATCACACATTCCTTAAAGAGTCGTTTGTTCTAAAATAAATGGTTATCACCGGCAATTCGGCTGCAGTTTGTAGTTTTGTCTGGCTACTGTGCGAGTACATAGATTACGCAACTAACTTCGATATAGTATATTGATTGTTGTCAAAAAATATATATATTCAGCACAGTGAAAAGAAAAGGTTCCTGACAAGTCTAGAAAATTGATTTAGGTAAGCTCTTTACCTTTTTTCCATTAACGAAGTTTTGCTGAGCGGCAAAAGGATATATTTAATAGCAAAAGGATGTCTGCAATGGGTTGCAGCGAAAATGGTGAAGAACAAATAATTTGGAAGGAAAGAAAAAAGAGAGAGAAAAGGGAATGAACTACAAGGGGAGGCCGCCAATGTCCTTATTATGAGGTACTTATTTTTTCTCTTAAAAAGATATGCAAAGTATACATTTCTTTTCACGCGGAAATTGCATATCACCTTAGTCTTAACCACAATGCATACAATCGTAGCTGTAGAGATAGATTAACGAGTTTTCATGATCATGGTACTGTATTCAAGACAGAAGTGCATGCATGTGGTCCTCGTTTTTCCGGCACTTTTTTATTCGTCTGTCTTGTTCCTTCAACAAGTGTTCGATCTCTAAGAACGCAAAAGGAAGATTAATCCACCAAAGTAGTAAAATTTGACAAATCATTAAAGTATTTTCTCAGGCACGCCATTGGTTCAAGACTACAATGAGACCAAACAGGCCCCCTGCTGAAGCAGAGGAATATGCGCTGATATTCCCCGATTTTAAAGAAATTGCGTTTGATATGAAGTCTTTCTGTAAAAGTTGTTCAAAGCCAAGAAAACTTTTTGCTACTGTTAAAGGAGAAGCATGTTGGTTTGTTCCTATTAGTCACTTTAAAAAGTCAACATACTCTTGCGCTGTAAAGGGCAATGGTTCGCGGAGCTCAAGGCCTCATAATTTCTAGCAAAAGAGGAAGCAATCGTGCCGCAGCGCTAATAATGACGACCTACTTTCTCTCCATGGACAAACATCCAAGCACATTCACACGTCACATGAAGGTGCTCAACGTTAATGAACTTCACAGAGAAAAAGTAAAGACCAACAATCAAACAAACGGTAATGGGCGCGACGTTGGAAAATTGGTGGAAAAGTTTCCTTCCTGCATCCCGACGGCTGAAATGAACCGATTACGAATTACAAAGTTAAAGCTACCATACTGATAACTAAAAGAGATTTTTCTCTGTTTGTTGTTTCTATCACTTTCTTCGAGCGAGCCTTACGAACAATGGGTCATAATGAATGATACAGTTTACTCTTGTTATGTTTCCGCCAGGAAAGTTAAGAAGAATTTGTTCGGGAAATTTTAACCCAACATATTTTCGAATGATGAGTGTTTTATGAAGTCGTTTATGTTACAACTGACCTCTGTTTTTCTTGGTAAGTTGCTCCCCAGTTTGTGCAAGCGATCTCAAGATCATCTCGGCACGCCTGTACACAGGTTCACCATCTGATGACTTTTTCCTCACAGGTTCTTCAGCTGCAAAGTTCGTTGAAAATAATGTAGAGAACAAAGAAAACAAAGAAAGAAAGAAAGAAAGAAATGGAAACAAAATCAAACAAACAAAAATGGAGAAAATAGTGCGAAAAGAGGACTGTTGAGGTTTGGTGCTGTCAGATTTTCGCAAACCAGGACGAGGTGGAGTAGCAATTTAGTAAGCGACAAAAATAGGTCATTCAAACTAGAACTTACTCTCGAATTGCAAGTATGCTAATGTGTGCCATGTGGTATGTAAACCATGTAATTTTACATCGATTTGTTCCAGCCATTGTCTGCTTATTCATGAAAAGCAAGGTAGCATCACTTCGACGCGCAAACATGGACAATTCAAGATTCAGTATAAATGGATCTAAGTAGGCTTTTATAGATCGCCACATATTAACACTAAATATAGCAACAAGCATATCACCTGCTGTTAAGATTCTGTCACTCTCTTTCCTTGAAATGAAATCTTCTTGTTTTTGGCGCACACACTTACGTCGGGCAGACTCTGAATCAACATTTCGTCTTCCTTCGTTTTCGCTTAAAGGCAAATAGCGCGACTTGCCGTTTGGTAACGGCGCCACATCAGATATTTTACTTGAAGTTGACTGATTACTTGTAACTGACAATGCGCTCGACTTTGGCTTCCAAGAACGAGCCGCGTTCAGGATGTCACGTGAGATAACAGTGTCCGCAGTGGAAGTTGATCGGTCCATTAAAAGAGAGGTGACATCTGAGTGGTCACTGTGAATCGACGACGACGACAATGAAAGGGGCCTGTCAAATGTTTGTGAACGTTCGCTGACTGCATCACTGGATGCAATATCAACCCTCTTTGGAGACGAACTGTGCAGCGGAATTGCAAAGTCGTTGACATCGTCGCTAACCTCGTCGAAATCGCATCTGCTGCTGACTTTCGAATTCAGATGTGTTGATACAGATGAACCTTCTTCTCCGTTGATTTCCTGCCTGTGCCCTCGGGAAATTAAGGGCTTAGAACGAAGATGCCCCTTCTGGGTTGCGCCACGACCTTTTCTGTCACCGTTGCTTGTTTGGCCTTGCTTTTCATCCTCGCTTGAAGGACCAGAATTTTCCTTGTCAGAGGTTGTCTCGCCGACAGCACGCTGCTGCCCACTTCTTCCCACATATGGTTCGTCAGGACGCACGGGGCAGTCGTCCAACAGCGCTCGCTCAGCAAGAGAACCCTGTGACGCAGACGGAGCATTCGGAGTCTTGGCCGGAGTCGCAGTTTGGAAGACGTGCACTTGGAAACTTGAGATCAAGCTCCGCACTTCATGTAGTAACGTTTTCAGGTCATCTGTAACTTCATCGTTTTTCTTCGACGAGGCTTCACTTGTCTACGGATGCAAATATGAATTCGAATGGCTCAAGAAACTATCGTATTTTAATCTTACGTCACAAGTCTCACAACAAACAAATTACAAAGTAAAGAACTTTCGCTTAACCTCTCGAGAGGGCCCACTTTGCATCAGCTGCCCATTCGTCAATTCTGCCACTTCAGGGTGGGAGCCCTGGAGCGGTAGAGGTGTTGGGAAAGGCTGAGGAATACCAGGCTTCTGAGTTAAGAGAACATTGGTGGAATTTGCTTTAGTGGTTAGTGGGGACCACCTTCAGTAGGCAAATAAAAATTAACAAGATAACTTGAGGAGTAGAATTTTCTCTCCACAAAGGAGCAGCGCTTCACGATTAATTTTTCAAAAAGTGACCTTTTGCCGACCTTCAACCGTAAAATGGTTGCCAAAATAAACATTTTGGTCATTTTTTTTAAACCTGTTTGTCGTCAAATGGCCACTTTTGTCGAAATTTTAGTCGCGAACTATATTTTTCACTCGCGTAGCGACCAAGATGGTCGCAGCTTGGAGGGCTGAGGATTATAGACAGGTACTAGCGAATTGTCAGAGAAGCCTGATGACATGCTGAGGGGTAACCTTGCGATGGACAGGTATCCACGGAGGAGCAGTAATGGGCCTGGTCGCCTCATGTAATAGAAACCGGGATAAGCTCTGGCTGGCTGGGTGGGTGGTGTTGGTGGGCAAAGGGAAAAAACATCGCGAGGATAGGTCACAAAACTTGTTTTTGGTTAAGTGGATTTAAATACGTCCAAGTTTTTTTTTTCATTATTACAATTCTAAGTTTTCAAGGATTGTTAACCGAAGGAAATTTAACGAAGGATATAAAGGTGATAAACAAATAAACTTAACCTTGTAGACGTTGATCGGTATCGATCAATCGACAGTCCTACTGACTAACTTGCCGACCGATTATGGTTGTTTCATCACCCACTCCTTTTCCAAATATATTTGCACCCATTGGAAAAACTCAGTTTTATGTGTAAAGAACTTTAGCTTTCATTTTCGGTAAGGAGACTTTTCCTTACGGTAAAATTTCTAACTAACGCCTAACAGCAATAATCAATAGCAATAAATGAACGTTGACTTAAAGCTTGTTTTTCGATCGATCATTGATGACAAACATACATCTGTGGATGGTAGTCTCTGTTCATGTTGCTATCAATTATTGACTTCAACCCTGTAACCAGGTGGACTGACTGGTTTTTAATTTCTCCTTACTTCCCCTGAATCACGCATTAAGGTCACGAGAATAAATGGTCCCCAACTAAAGAAGCTCCTAATTGTTAAGCTAAAGCTCCTTATCAGTACCTGACGAAATGTGTACAGAAGAATAAGAAGAATGTGCATACTGATGTTAGGGTATAAAGGGTTACAGAATGGTGAATTCGAGACGTTACACTGTAGGAAGTGTAAGAAGAATTGTTCACTGTGTCTAGCGGTGCAGGATGACCTTAACATGAGTCTTGGGGTATTTGTGTCATTAGAAAGCTTACTTCCAAAAATCAGCTCGAAAATGGACTAATAGGCGTGTAGTAATCAAGCAGTAGAAAAAAACAATTGAAATATTCACCTAAAACCAGTGTTTAGTTTTGTCAACAGTTCAACTAGCGTTGCAGCTTCTGGTCTGACAGTCATGGGTGCCTTAGATGTCCGCTCAAGTTCCTAGAAGACAACATCGAAGTTGTAGATAGTGGAAAGCTACTTCTACATACCCAACGGTGCAAACGGACATGTCATACTCTGGTGTCGTGCACGATGATGGTATACCTTTATCTCAAGTGAGTGCTTCAGTTTAATGCTTGCCTGCTGCCTATGAGGGAGGTATGACGATGTACATTAGGAATAAGGGACTCGATTACTGAAAAACGTATTGCCTCCTCAGCGGATGAGCGATTTCTGGGATGGAGGGGATAGAACCCCACCGTTATTTTCCCTATAATTTGAGGGGCACCGAATTAGGCTATAAACGATTCCTATTTTGCACTGAAATTACACAAACTCAAACACGAACTTCCTTCGTATTTAGCTTTGTCAGTTTGCCTTAATCCTCATCGTTATTCTATTTTATTTTTAATGTCCAATGATGTCAACGTTTAAATAGTGGTATTTAAATTATCATCTGTAATCGCCTAAATTATGCCTTTAAAAAATAGTCGTTGACAATTAATACCTTTTCAAGAGCCTGCTCCATGTGGTTGACTTGTTTTTTATACTCATCTTTCTGTTCCCGGACCTTCCGCAGCTCGAATTCCAACTGGTCTCGACGACCTGCCAGTTTTTCTGACGTTTCTGATAATTCACTGCTTTTCCTTTCATAATAACGCGCGTCCTAAAAACCAAACGAATACCACAAAAGCATTTGATTTACGGTCGTTTCGATACAGGTTGATTCAATACAAACTGAAGTCGATTCGATTCATTGATAAAGTCGCCATTTAATAAACGTAGAACGTCATTTCGATACAAACTAGTGAAGTCCTTCGCCAATCTCTTCTCGCAGCAAGGTATATCTCCGAAAAATTCAGTGCCGTCTTGACATCTTAAACTCCTTTTATTGGATTGGCAGACTGTTGAAAATATCCAATTACACCTTCACTGGTTGGTATCGAAATAACTGAAGTTGTATCGTATCGACTTGTATCGAAAAGGCGGACTGCAATCATTTAAAAGAGTGACGCTTTCTGTTTGGACATAATGTAAATTTAAACCGGTTGAAAGGCAAATTGAAACGCTATTTGAATGATGATTTTCTTCTCAATGTTGAAAATGTAGAGCCATTCAGAAGAAGGACAGAGGCCAAAACGATGAATGTATGGGTAGCTGAGAGGTAGCAAGATAAAGGAGCTTTGACTAGATCATGAACATTTTGCCGGATCAAATTCTCGAAAACTCGCTATGCGGATTACAGAGAAACCGAAGACAGGTTGCCCTAATTTTTTTATTTTTTAAGCATGCTGCATAATTTTATGCATCACCCCTGCATCACACATTAAGGTCACAAGAATGTAGGAAATGATTATCAACTAAAAAGCTCTTGATTGTTAAACAAATTCTCCTTGTCAGCCGCATGGGAAATGTATAGAGGACAGTAAGAATATGTATACTGATATTAGTGTAAAAGGTTAGGACCCGGCTCTACATCGTGATACACGGGCAAAGTGCAATTTACCTTGGAGACATATGGAGACTTTCTGTTAACCAGTGAATTCTACAAAACAAGAAGAAAAACAGTATAGTTGATTGTGTTTTTTTAGTCGAACTAACCAGAGAAAAAGTAGAATGTTAAATAGAATCACACTGCGGACAACTAACTTGTTTTGCATAGCGTCAAGTTCTCCACGCTTGGCGGTTACCTCCTCTTGCATAGCATTTGCCACTCGTACAGCTTTTAAAACAAACAGAAGGCAAAACGTCTCAGTCTTTGAAGTAGGCGTACTTTAAATTAAAGAAACTGCTTCAACTTGTGTTGAATGACAATGCACGTTGAGAAAAAAAACCAAGAAACAACATGACACAAAATGGACCTGATTCGTCATAAGTGCAGTTTGCAATTGAGCGTCGAAAGTAATCCGCGATTGCACTGTATTCACTTTACTTCGCTTCATGATTGGCCCAGAAAACTCGCTCCGCTTTCTCAACCAATCAGATGCAAAACTAAAACAATCACGACTTAGTCACCCGCGTTTTCCCGCGCTTTAGGCAGTTTGGCTGTTTTTACTTTGAGATCTCACTGGCTCTAAAGAGTACTTTCCTTTCCTCTGATCGGCCGTTGCGATTACTCGAAAAGCGCTCTCGGGGTAGTCTATGATAATCTTCTCCATCGGCCTTCCGGTGCCTTGTTTCTTCCATCTTTGTTCCTCGTCTTCCTCATTGTACTACTTATCAACGTTTTTCATTCCAAGGCAATCCTTACACATCGCAAAAAAGGGCAAACAAGTCGTGAAGCAGCGCCTTCAATATCAAACAACACACTTCGCACTTCTCACCCCGACTTATATTTCACGGTTATCACGTTAGTTGGAACCAAAATTCCCGATCAGTGTATGAGCAACTGCGTACCTACCCTTCCCCTACGCTAACAACTAACAACGGACAACAAGTGGGTCAGGGGAGGGGTAAGTTCGCAGTCCCCCGACACTGACATTGATCCAAATTTAACAAAGAATTGAACAAATTTTACTGGGTTTACATATAGTTATCACCCCACGCGGAATTTTAAGAAGAGACGAGAATTTCCATGGAGATTTTAGCTGTAAAGCAGCATTTAGTTCTCAAATAGTTACATAACAACTTAAAAGACGAACCGGATCACGGGTTATTTCGAAGAAACTACTTATTACTTCGGAAATTCTTCCACACGGTACAAGAGGTACAAGGCGTTCAAATTGTGCAAAGCAGCAATACTCACCTTTCCCACTCATATCTCCTTTCGTTTTCAGAAGCTTTCGCGTTAAAGCTAAGTCCTGCTCAGAACCTTAGGAAGTAAACATGGGGAAAGCATACTTGTAAATAACATAGTCAATCAAACATATTTCTCAGTTCTCTCTCTTTCATTCTATACATTAATTATGTGTTAAAATACAAGTCTGAACTGGTACTTTGTTATCCCTGTGTTCGTAGATTTAAGAGTTTAGGTCAAAATGGCTATCCGACCGACAAGCTTGAGCAGAGCTTATACAAATCTTTTCGTCCCTTTCATTCAAGCGGCAGAGGCATGAGCCATGCGAGGGCATGGGGCGAAAGGGAGCAAAAAAAGCGACGAGTGCGGAGGGGATGGGAGAAGGAGAAGGGGGGGGGGGGGGGGGAAAACCCTGAATTCGGGCCAAGAAATAATTTGACGGCAGGCATTCATTATAAGTGTTGCAAAACACACGTTTCTCCCCAAAGTTGGTAAAATTCTCTGTGTCCTGTTAGATAAGGGGGGAGGGGAGGGGGCTGGGGGGGGGGAGGGGGGGAAGGGGAGCAAAAAAGGGGAGGGGGGGGGGGGGGGTGGGAGAGGGAGAGGGGGGGGGGGGGGTGGAAAACCCTGATATCGAGCCAAGAAATAATTTGACTGCAGGCCTTCATTATAAGTGTTGCAAGACACGCGTTTCTCCACAATGTAGGCGAAGAAACGAATATCACCTCTGAATCAAACATTGAGGTCATGAAAATGAAGGAAATGATCACCAATTATAGAAGGTCTTGATTGTTAAACAAAGTCCCCTTGCCGGCACCCTAAAAAATGTACAGAGAACAGTGTGGAGAATTATGGATCTTGTACTAAAATCAAGGTATAAAGGGTTAAAGCTACTATCGTCACCTTTTAATCGAGATAACAATTTGGTGATCTCTTTCTCGCGCTCTCCATGTTGTCCTTCGATCAGTGAACTCAATGAACTGTTTTGCTCTTTCAACTTCGTCACTTCAATTTGCCGCAATTTCAACTCCGCCATGATGTTACTTCAGTCCCCCATCAAAGCGTTTAACTCCTCTTGCTTAATATTCAAACTATTTGTTAAAGAGTTCCTTTCCTCTTCCAGTTCCTTGACACGTTTGTCCTTTGACCTCAATTTTTTTTGCTAAGATTTCGCGATGACTCTTCATTTCTTCCACCTCGCTAATTCTGTCCTCCAGCGTTCGAATCAGTTGCTCCCTCTCACGTTGTAACGAGTCACCCGTTTGACTGTTTCTTTCAATAATTTCAGCAAGGTTTGTTCCTTGCACTTGAAAATTCTCTATGGTCCTCTCTCTTTCCTTGAGCTGAGTTTGAAGTTTACTAACACAGTTCTCCGCTTCGGAGAGATCCTTTGATTTTACCTCTAAAGTTCTACCCAATTCTTCAACTTCTTTACGCAGATTATCATTTTCGTCGTGTCTTTTTTCAAGTTCCGCAGCTAAACGAATTTTTTCGTCTCTCATAAGGTTCATTTCCTTAGTTTTCAAATCTAGATCGTCTTTCAATTTAATATTGTCCTCTCGCTGCTTCGATAAATCTAATTTTTTCCCTTCTAAATCAGCTGTCAAGGTGGAAATACCTTGATCGGATTTCGTAAGCTCGTTTAATATACCATCCAGGCGAGCGTTCGCCTTCTCTCTTTCTTGATTAATTGCTCTTTCGACTTCACTTTCTCGAAGTCTAGCACTCTCTTCGCGAATGTCTTTCATTAGTTTATCTTTTTCACTTATATCAGTTCTTAAACTATTGGCTTCCTCACGGCACGTTTCCCGAAGAACCGCTAATTCTTTGCTGAGACCTTCGTTCTTCGCTTCTGTTTCTTGTTGAAGTTTCTCTGCAGCTCTAAGCTTCTCGTTCACAGAAATAATATTTGCTTGCTCTTGCGAAACACGCTCCAGTAAGTTCTGTTTCTCTTCTTTCACAACTTGAAGTTCAGCAGTCAATTCCCGAACAGTGGATTCCAATTCTTTGTTCTAAGGGGATGAAAATAATCTACTTTTACGAACAAGAACAAAGTTATTTTCTCGAAAGTTTTAAGGTTTGAAATTCTATGTATGAAAGGTAACAGTAGCGTGAAACAATGACAATTCCACGGCGGGGGGCCTCCGCTTAATTTTGAAACGTAACTTAGGCTCATTTCCAGTTATTAGTTTTACAAAGGATTCAAAAAGTGAGTCAAATTATTCAAAACCCCTCACAATACGCAATCATTCGGCTCGACCTCTCGTTCTTGCCGAAGTTAGAGCGCATCGCAGTTTGTTGACGTATGCCAGTAGTTTAATGCTGAAGTTTTATCGTAATCTGATAAAACTTCAGTCATTTTCATGCATATAAAAATATTACGACCCCCGGTTGCATAAGTCTCGTATTCATGAACTACATGATGTTTGGAGATAACTCTTATCCAAGATAGGTTCAAAAAGTACACAACAGTTGAAAGTATTGATATTAATAACATACATACCTTCGTTTCTAATTGCAGTGAGGTTTCGTGACTTGATTTTTTTAGTCTTTTCCAGCTCAAGATGAAGGCATTTCATTTTTTCATCCAGTACAGAAACTTCTATTTGATGTTGCCCTCTGTAAAATTAAGCATAAGAACTCAGATTGAGCATAGACCTACGTGTATTAACACCACCCACGTATAAAGAACCCAGCTTTCGCAAGTAGAACAGGTACTAGAGTTACCCACCTGAGTTTATCTGTTTCTTCATGTAAACTGTCCAGCTCTCTCCTTAACTGGGCTGCTTTATTGCCTGAGGAATCTAACGCCTGCTTATGTTCCTCTTCCAGCTCAATAGCCTAAAAAAAGAGGTATTACTCTAATTTGAAATCATTACATTTGTGTGGGTTGTTTTCGCTCTTGCACACCGTATAAGCCCGGGCTAACAAACTGTATATCAGTATGGTTCATACAAGTGAAAAGCGCTTTTGATACTAGCAAAGAGGAAATTACGAAGCAGGCGAAGAAAAACAAAATGGCATCCCGTTTCAACAACGGATACCTATGGTACAAAAACACCAAACGAAGAAAGAGCACTCGGAAGTTTGAAAAATCTGCAGGAAATTTAAACTGAAATCGCTGGCCGTACTTTCTCACCTGGCTTTGTAATCCCTTTGCAGTTCATCTTGTGTGGCATCAATACGTTCTTTGCTGCTTCTCAGATCTGTCTCGACCTACAGAATGTACAGTGCACACAAACATTACATACTTATTGAACGAGATTGAGCGAGATACCGCGATTTTTTAGCGCACAAAAGATCACAAACCCAAATTGATAATTGCAATTGATCTTTGAGATATAAAGACAAATCAAGTTTTTGTATGAGGTAACCCACTCACTAAGACAATCTTGCGTTCTTTTGTCTTGTCCTTTTATTAAGCGATTACAAAGTTTGTCGGTCACAAACATTACCAGAAAATCAATTTCTCCCATCTAAGGGAAGATTATTGAGATTGAGTGGAATAATTATGCTAAAGAACAATATCAGACCACATTAAGCACGTGAAGAACAGCATGCATTTCTAGGCAGTTAATTGCAGTTTACAACATGTACGTGGTGGACTCTCGACTTACAAAAAGCTGGCCCATTAGAACAATGTCAGTATCTTAGCAACTTCGTACCTACATGTACATGTACCATTCTTCCAATCCATAATAAACCCTAAATGCGCCTTGATGTCAGTCAACAGTTGTTAGGCTGTTGAAAACAACGTTGAGGGTGTGTCCTTGGTATGAAGAAGATGAATTAAAGACTATGTGGACACGTGTGCTTCTTTTTTCTGGTCTGAAAACGGCGTGATCGGGAATGTAATGGACAGGTCCTTGCTACGAATCAATTTCTTCTTTTGATAGCTTTCTGGCAAACCCCATGCTTTCCATCTCTTCCATTTGCTTGCAATAGGCTTCGGCTTGTTCAGAATCCCTTTTCAGACGCCTTTCCGTCGACACTAGGCGCTTTACTGCCAACTGTCTATTATCTGGTAACAGGCTTGGGTCTTTTTTCCAAGGGTAGGGGACCATCCACTGACCCTCTACTTTAATGCACGACTCTTCTATTAGTTTGGCTTCTTCTCTCTCTAATTGAGTTAGCTTTTCTGTGTCGCAAAAGCAGGATTTGACTGGCACACCCATGGACTCTGTTGTCCAGAAGTCAGTCAAATCTATTGGCGAGGCGCATTTAACGTGTAATATGGCGCTTGCATCAGGAGTTTCTTCAGCCTTTCCTCCAAAGACTACCCATCCAAGTGACGACTTGCGTGCTATCAGGTGCTTTACTTCCTTCGTTTCGCCGGCATGCATGTGCGCCTGGTCAATGCCGATGAGGAGATCAACGCGTCCCTTTCCGCTTCGGAAACTGGTATTTTATAGACCAAGAAGCTCCGGCAGGTGGGATGTCTTAACCTTTAAAATCTCGTCGCTTATGTTGTCAATGCCAATTGCATTGACGGTATAGCGTTTGTTGTCGTCGATGCAGATCAATTGAACTCTATACTCATTTGTCTTCATTGTTTCTTCTTCGTCACCCACTTTAGTAACGGTTACTGACACATCTTTGCCCTTCAGCCCAAGGGTATTTGCCTGCGTGCAGACGTCTCCCATTTCCTTTGTTGCACGCGGAAAAGGGCCGTGACGCATTGCGGCAGCGATTAGCACAAGGTCGCAGGGCGACCCAAGGGTTCTAGAACCCTTGTACGACACTATCCGACTGTGTGTCACGCGTAACAAACTGAATTGCGACTAACCAACAATAGCTTAGTGGTCTGATAATGTATGCGGTGATTTATGTAATCGGGGTTTTCCAGCCAAAACAAATCAAAACATGGGGTGGGTAGAAAACGAAGACCTAAGACCTAGGACCCAAAAACGAAGACCCCCCTCAAAATCACTTGTCCTTATAAATAACCAGAAACGGGTATCTCGATCTTAGATGTGTAAGAAACAACAATATCTTCAATTATACAAAATTTCGACCCGGGTCTTCGTTTTCTACACAATCCCCCCGGTGTGTAGAAAACGAAGACCCCCCTCAAAATCACTTGGAAACGGCTGGAAACTGCTTGATCACTTCGTTTTATTAAAGGAGTAACAGCGGTTACGAATAAAGCCAAAAAATCAGTGAAACGACAAACAGACACCAAAACGCAGTGGAATACATTGCAGGTAAGTCTTTTTTTATTCATTTCATTTAAGAAAAAGTAAGTTTTAGCGTTATTTAGCGTTCGCAGATCTCAGTAACATATTTCTCATACAAAGTCTCTTATATTTTCAACGGTCGCCTGTAACGCGACACCGGCGCGTCACCTATGGTATGTAAATTACATTACACCCTTCCCTCGTAACGTGAGTTTGGGTCGCCTGTGGTTTTTCTATGAAAATCTCATATACTCCCTTGAGCTTATCTATGGCCTCTCTTACCTCGACGGCAGGCCGGTTGCGCTTTGCATCATGTACCACGGCTTTTCCTGCTCTTGTAAATGCCGATTTTGCTGTACGACGGTCGATCATAGCTTGCTTTAACACCGCTTCCATTGTAACGTTTCGTTGCCACGTGTCCGGCAATCAGCGCAGTTCATCCAACCAGAAATCGAATGAAAATGCTTCCCTTGGAACTGGTTAGCTCAAAAAACCACCACAAACCGCATAATATCAAGCCAAGCTTTAATAATTATTCGATCTAGAGAAATACATTTATAATTCGCAATCAGAACAAACACAAATCGAGTCTTAATCTTGTAGCTAAATTCAGAAAACTTCAATGTAAGCTTACTTCTGTGGCAGGTCGTTATAACAGTCGCACCTTACAGGTTGGCAGATGCTTTAAACATTCTTCAGGTAAGCGGATTTATAAACAGACTATAAACTTCCTTCTCACTTCGATTCTACTGAAAAAACTGGCTCGAAATGCAATAACCTAATGCTTTTAAATCAATGTATAGAATCAATGTCAATCAACGTTCGTAAACATAATCCCTTTCAACTTTAACTAAATCAATGCTCATAGTCACGCAGTCATTACGGTTTTTGGATGAAACAGGTATAATTCTAATTGTCCTCGACACTTACGCTCGGTCCATTTATATTACATGCAGTCTGTCCCAATATGACAACCCTGAATAAGACATCAGGAGTTCTTACCAGTCCTTACTATCCAAGGCGTTACCCTTCTAACGTGAATTGCAGCTGGAAAATTATAGCAAGTAAAGGAGAACGCATTGTGTTGTCCATTGAAGACATTGATATTGTGGACTGTGGTTCATCTTGCACGTGTGACTACCTGAAAATACAAAATGGCTCATCCTCTGATGGCATTTCAAGCAGGCGAAGATGTAGATACTATAAAGACCGTAAGATAATATACCGTTCGGTAAAAGATGTCCTGAGGGTGACGTTTGTTTCTGATAGTGGTACTTACCGGCGGTACCGTGGATTTAAGGCAACTTACATCAAAGTGAAATATAATGCAACAAACACCGGTAAGTTATTAAAAATCGGCTTTACACGCAAAATTAAAGGTTTATGTGCAGGCGATCAGGTGATCAATTTTCAGCAAATTATATAAAACAGTATTGCCTTATAACAGGCTCATAGCAACTGCAACATTCAAATATTAATACTTTACGGAGTAAAACAACACAAACTAAAATGCCGATGAAATGCCAGCAATTTTTATTCGCATGATGTTAAAAGTGTTTTCTTGCGAATCTCCTTTTTTTTATGAACCCTTTCATGATTGAGTTTTTTTGGGGGGGGTTCACAGCCAAAATTACTCTTTGATTTTGAATTACAAAGCTAAATCATGTTTATTTCCTCTTTTTGCAGCTTGTACCTCTGGCGAATATCTTAATGGATTTAGTGGATTCTTTTCAACTCCAAATTTTCCAAGTAACTTCCCTCAACACAGCAAATGTACCTGGAATATCACAGTTCCCAGCGGGTACATCATTAAACTTAGCTTCCTCTACTTTCGATTGGAGCAACATCAGTACTTTCCCTGCAATAATAATCCAGAGGCCCGTGTTACAGTCACAAATGTTGCTTCAGGTGATGGGTATCAGCCGTTCATGCTGTGCGGTTAGTTAATGTTGCGTTGTTTGTGAATTTTTCCTAATGTAGCTATTGTTCGCATGGACTTTCATAACAAAGAAAGAAAACGTGAACGACAGAACAATTTTTTTATGCCGAGTAAGCGCAGGCGCCTAATACCCTCTAAAATGTTCGTTTGAGTCAAGGAACGGACTCTTAAAAACATCGTAAGAAGGCAGTCAATTGTCTGTAACTTGTTGACAATGTAATCTCGATAATTTAAAAAAGTTATTCCTCACACAAACCAAAAAAAGGTTTTAGCGCAGCTCAAAATTATTAAGTCCTTCCGTTCCGTATTATTTGGGTTTGATCTAATTCCTTCTCGGGTTAACTAGATTCTTTTTTTAAAGTGGTATAATTCTAATTGTCCTCGATACTTACGCTCAGTCCATTTATATTGCTTGCAGTCTGTCCCAATATGGCAATCCTGAATGAGACATCAGGAATTCTTACCAGTCCTTACTATCCAAGGCGTTACCCTTTCAACGAGAAATGCAGCTGGAAAATTATAGCAAGTAAAGGAGAACGAATTTTGTTGTTCATTGAAGACATTCATATTGCAAACTGTGGTTTATCTTGCACATGTGACTACCTGGAAATACAAAATGGCTCATCCTCTGATGGCATTTCAAGCAGGCGAAGATGTAGATACTATAAAGACCGTGGGATAGTATACCATTCGGTAAAAGATGTCCTGAGGGTGACGTTTGTTTCTGACAGTGGTACATACTGGCGGTACCGTGGATTTAAGGCAACTTACATCAAAGTGAAATATAATGCAACAAACACCGGTAAGTTATTAAAACTCGGCTTTAAACGCAAAGTTAAGGGTTTATTCAAGCCGATCAGTGATCAATTTTCAGCAAGTTATATAAAACATTATTGCTTTATAACAGGCTTATAGCAACTGTAACATTCAAATACTTTACGGAGTAAAACAACACAAACTAAAATGCCGATGAATTTCCAACAATTTTCATTGACATGATGTTAAAAGTGTTTTCTTGCGAATCTCCTTTCTTTATGTTTATCTATTGCAACGCTTTCCAGATTGAGTTTTTCTTTTTGGTTCACAGCGAAAATTACTCTTTCATTTTGAATTATAAAGCTAAATCATGTTTATTTCCTCTTTTTGCAGCTTGTACCTTTGTCGAATATCTTAATGGATTTAGTGGATTCTTTTCAACTCCAAGTTTTCCAAGTAACTTCCCTCAATACAGCAAATGTACCTGGAATATCACAGTTCCCAGCGGGTACATCATTAAACTTAGCTTCCTTTACTTTCGATTGGAGCCACATCAGTACTTTCCCTGCTATAATGGTCCAGAGGCCCGTGTTACAGTCACAAATGTTGTCTCAGATGATGGGTATCAGTCGTTCATGCTGTGCGGTCAGTCTTCTTTTCATCCAGTGTACTCGGTAGGGAATTCCGCTCAAGTCATATTCACGTCTCTGCGCAGTCAATACCCAGGGTTTAATGCCACTTACACGGCTATCACTTATAAATCAGGTACTTGGTATACATTATTTACAAGACATCAATGACTGAGTTAAGATTTAAATACCATCACCATCGACAACTCGCCCAATAAAGGGTAATCCAAGAAAGTCTTGGATTCTGGATTCCAGGAGTGGATTCCGAATATCATTGGCATTTAGATTATTGATTCCAATGATAAGTAGAATTCCGGTTTCCTGAAGTAAAATCACAGATTCCAAATCCTAGTACTTACGAACATATTTCTCACAGTTAATGTTGCTTTGTTTGTGAATTTTCCCAATGTAGCTGTTGTTCACATAGGCTTTCATAACAAAGAAAGAAAACGTGAAAGACAGAACATATTTTTTTATGCCAGAGAAAGCGCAGGCGCCTAATACCCACTAATATGTTCGTTTGAGTCATCTAACGGACTCTTAAAAACACCGTACGAAGGCAGTCAATTGTCTGTGACTTGTTCACAATATAATCTCGATAATTTTCAAAAAGTTATTTCAGACACAAATTTAGAAAAAGCTTCCGGCGTATCCCAAAATTATTAAGTCCTGCCATCCTACATTTGGTTTTGATCTAATTCCTTCTCAAGTTAACTAGATTATTTTTTTAAAGTGGGATAATTCTAATTGTCCTCGATACTTAGGCCTAGTTCATTTATATTGCTTGCAGTCTGTCCCAAAATGGCAACCCTGAATGAGACATCAGGAATTCTTACCAGTCCTTACTATCCAAGGCGTTACCCTTCGAACGTGAAATGCAGCTGGAAAATTATAGCAAGTAAAGGAGAACGAATTTTGTTGTTCATTGAAGACATTCAGATTACGAACTGTGGTTCATCTTGCACGTGTGACTACCTGGAAATACAAAATGGCTCATCCTCTGATGGCATTTCAGGCAGGCGAAGATGTAGATACTATACAGACCGTGGGATAGTATACCATTCGGTAAAAGANTGGGATAATTCTAATTGTCCTCGATACTTAGGCCTAGTTCATTTATATTGCTTGCAGTCTGTCCCAAAATGGCAACCCTGAATGAGACATCAGGAATTCTTACCAGTCCTTACTATCCAAGGCGTTACCCTTCGAACGTGAAATGCAGCTGGAAAATTATAGCAAGTAAAGGAGAACGAATTTTGTTGTTCATTGAAGACATTCAGATTACGAACTGTGGTTCATCTTGCACGTGTGACTACCTGGAAATACAAAATGGCTCATCCTCTGATGGCATTTCAGGCAGGCGAAGATGTAGATACTATACAGACCGTGGGATAGTATACCATTCGGTAAAAGATGTCCTAACGGTGACGTTTGTTTCTGGCAGTGGTACATACCGGTGGTACCGTGGATTTAGGGCAACTTACATCAAAGTGAAATATAATGCAACAAACACAGGTAGGTTATTAAAAATCGGCTTTAGCAAAATTAAAGTTAAAGTTAACGCAAGTTAAAGGTTTATGTGCAGGCGATCAGGTGATCAATTTTTAGCAAGTTATAGAAAACATTAATTATTGCCTTATAATAGGCTTATAGCAACTGTAACATTAAAATACTGTACGGAGTAAAACAACACAAACAAATTAAAATGCCGATGGAATGCCAACAATTTTCATTCGCGTGATGTTAAAAGTGCTTTGTTTCGGGTCTCCTATTTTTTATGTTTGTCTATTGCAACGCTTTCCATTGATGTTTTCTTTTTTTGGTTCACAGAGAAAATTACTCTTTGATTTTGAATTATAAAGCTAAGTCATGCTTATTTTCCCTTGTTGCAGCTTGTACGTCTAGCGAATATCTTAATGGACTAAGTGGATTCTTTTCAACTCCAAATTTTCCGAGTAACTACCCTCAATACAGCAAATGTACATGGAATATCACAGTTCCCAGCGGGTACATCATTAAACTTAGCTTCCTCTACTTTCAATTGGAGCCATATCGATATAGTCCCTGCTTTCATGCCCGTGTTACAGTCACAAATGTTGCTTCAGATGATGGGTATCAGCCGTTCATGTTGTGTGGTCAGTCTCTTTTCCATCCAGTATACTCGGTAGGGAATTCCGTTCAAGTCATATTCACGTCTCTGCGCAGTCAATACCCAGGGTTTAATGCAACTTACACGGCTATCACTTATAGTTCAGGTACTTCGTATAAGTTATTTACAAGACATCAATGATTTAGTTAAGATTTAAAAACCATCACCAAGAAAGTCTTCTCAAGTAAAATGACAGATTCCAAATCCCATTATTTACGAACATACTTCTCACAATTGATGTTGCGTTATTTGTGAATTTTCTTAATGTAGCTGTTGTTCACGTGGGCCTTCATAACACAGAAAGACATCTTGAACGACAGAACATTTTTTTTTATGCCAGAGTATGCGCAGGCGCCTAATACCAACTACAATTAATGTTCGTTTGAGTCACGAAACGGATTCTCAAAAACATCGTAAGAAGGCAGTCAATTGTCTGTGACTAGTTCACAATATAATCTCGACACAAATTTTAAAAAAGCCTCCAGCGCATCCCAAAATTATTAAGTCCTGCCGTCCTGCATTTAGTTTTGATCTAATTCCTTCTTAAGTTAACAAGATTCTTTTTTTAAAGTGGTATAATTCCAATTGTCCTCGATACTTACGCTCACTCCATTTATATTGCTTGAAGTCTGTCCAAATATGGCAACCCTGAATGAGACGTCAGGAGTTCTTACCAGTCCTTACTATCCAAGGCGTTACCCTTCGAACGTGAAATGCAGCTGGAAAATTATAGCAAGTAAAGGAGAACGCATTTTGGTGTTCATTGAAGACATTCAGATTACGAATTGTGGTTCATCTTGCGCGTGTGACTACCTGGAAATACAAAATGGCTCATCCTCTGATGGCATTTCAGGCAGGCGAAGATGTAGATACTATACAGACCGTGGGATAGTATACCATTCGGTAAAAGATGTCCTAACGGTGACGTTTGTTTCTGATCGTGGTACATACCGGCGGTACCGTGGATTTAAGGCAACTTACATCAAAGTGAAATATAATGCAACGAACACCGGTAAGTTAAAGGTTTATGTGCAGGTGATCAATTTCAGCTAGTTATATAAAACAGTATTTAACAATGAATGAGGCTGAGTATCTTATGAAGAATTATGGAGATCGAGGAGGGTGTTATCCGTCGACGCCGTACGCCGAGGCGGATAACACCCTCCGAGATCTCCATAATTGTTCATATGATAGAAAGCCGAATTCAATAATTGTTTTATTATTCTTTCAAAAGCCATTATTTCGCCTAGTTCCAGCTGCAGTTCTTAATCTTGAAACGAGTGAAGTGTCCGCCATTTTAGTTTTCAGAACGAAAACAACTCAACCTCGTCCCCAGGTCTTCTCGGTTAACGGTGCATTAACCTGTAGAAGCCTGCATTTTTGACGTCATTTCCTCCTTAAACACAAAGTTCTTCCAAATTTGGTCATCAGTAAGTGCTTATGGTGTATTATGCGTGTGCTTTTAGCCAATCAGAACTGGGGAAATATTTTGAATGAATAATAATAATGCTTTATAACAGGCTAATAGCAACTGTAACATTCAAATACTTTACCAAGTAAAACAACACAAACTAAAATGCCGATATTGGAAAACCTCCGTTTTCGTCTGTCCTCACGTAAACGAGAAGCCGGAGTTTTTAAAAATCTCCTCTGTGGAGAGCGTTTTCTAAAAGATGCGTTTTCAGTGACCGTTTTCACCGGATACGTGTGGACGGTAGGCCAGACCGGAGAAAAACTAAATCGGATACGTGTGGACAGGGCCTTAGTGGTGCCGTACGGAAATATAACGTTAATTCTACGTTTTGCGGGAGAAACTAATTTCTTTGTTTTTGTTCTGTTCGTTTATTTGTCTTTTTCATTAGAGTTACCACACATAACTACCACAAAAGTAACACCTGAAAGTGAGTATCATATGAAGATCAAAGTATAAAGTTGTAACGAAGCAAATTTCTGATTTTACTCCAATCTGGAGCTCGCTTAAAAACTTATTCATGATATTTTTGGTTTCACAACAGCAACAAGCACCCAAGACTCAGAAATGACACCCACAAGTAAGTTTCTCAGGAGGTTGAAAGAACTATGTATTGGAAAAGATGGGCACCTTTCCAACTTTAGTTAAATGCTATGGAAAAACAGTCGAATCTCCCGTAAGCGACCATGGTGGTCTCTTCGTAAAGGAGGTCCGAACACATCTATTTTTTGAAGAGAATGTACTTTTTCACTTTGTGGAAGAGAAGTTACGATATGTCTACTGTAGTTCCATGTCGTCACTCAAATTTCTTCGTATGCACTGACAGGCGAACAAAGCGAAATCACACCATGCGCTTACGGGAGGTTAAAAAGAATGGAAAATTATGAAACCGTCGACCGCAAAACGCTGTCGCGGTCGCTATTAAAAGAGAGGTGGTCGTTTACAACAGGTTTAAATTACAGGGCTTTGAGTGGTTTTGGTTCTCACAAGGATGTTTGACTTTCTTTTTTTCTTCCTGTCAGTCTATGATATCAGTCAGATAACAGTTGACGTCGAAACAAGTTTCTCGGATTGTTATTATATTTTCGGGGCTTCCAATTGCCCGTTTTTGTCCACTATTAGTGTAACTTAATATGTGCCAGGCGCTTGAAATAAGATGATTTCTACTTCGAATCGAATAGAGATCACGGGTTAATTATGTTCATGTTGCTCCCGATAATCCACCTTGGACAAACATGATTAGCCATGATTTCTCAGTTCAAGAGGATTGAACTCATACTCTTACGATCTTGGTAAAAGTATCGATTTCCGTCGGCCTCTAAAACACAGGACTAGAATTTCAAACTTTAAGCTTGGAATTAAGCCTTATTAGATAGCTAGTTTTTGAGACTTTGCAGTGAGAAGGAAGAAAAAGTACTGGAAACCATGCATTTACAATTACTGCGAAGTTTAAGGAAATTTGTATTGAACCTATACTTGTGACGTAAAAGGCTTTGAATACAAGTTTCCGCTTGTCAGATTCCGGAGTAGTGATTTTTAACTGCAGTGTAAGTTTGATTTTACCTCCATTTTTTTTATCCAGTTCGAAAGCTCAATGTAGATTTAAGCTTGATAAAGTGAAATCTTGTTTATTAAGTCTATTTATCAAGTGGTAAAGACTTAAAATTCAAGATCATATGGTGGGTCATCTTGCATTTAAGCTTTTTAATGCACAGAAAACCTTTCATTCAAGTCTCCACACCACAAAAACGGCTTCGATTGGAGTTTTCAAATTAAGGAAACTCAAATCAGTCTGACATTGATTTAGATTCAAGTCTCCGTACCACAAAAATGTCTTAGATTGGAGTTTTCAAATTAAGGAAACTCAAATCTGACATAGTTGAGTACCAGGCCTGGTTGAGTACCATTCAATATTTCTTAATCGTGATCCTTGATAAATGCTTTTAAAATTTTTTATCTAATCTACACTTATATTGGCATAGTGTGAATGAAAATTGTCTCTTCTGGTTACTCCATATTAAAGCTTAAATTAATCGGTTAAAATATTTCCTCGATGAGCGAAAAAAAAGTGCAAAAATAGACTAAAAGAAGGGTTGGTATACCGTTTGATTATCGAGCAGACGAGATGTAATCATATCCATTATCGTATTAATCATCACTATAAACCGTAATTTATGGTGCTCACTATAAAGTTTTGACAATCGGTTAGTTTAACGTCTTTAAAGAGTACATGTAGTATAAACTGATTAAGTGACGAAATGTCTAACAGGAAGAGGCTTCAACTCACAGATCAGATCAACATTGGTACTTTGGGCTTAAAGAGATATTTTTGTGTTTGAAATGTTTGGATAGGTTGCTTCATCGCTTTATAGTTGTATTGTTGTTGTAGATATTGATAAATAGATAATTGACAGGCGTGGCAGCATGCGTCAAAAAAGCTGTTCAAACTCAGGATTTAAAATTCTCCCCTGATCCACAACCTTTCCTGTATAGTTCAGTCCACTTTTGAGGCGCAAGAAAAGAGATAACATTGAGAACAAAAATTAATTAAAGGCAGACTGCGAATACTTACAAATTTTCACCCTTCCCTGTTCGCTCATTAGGGTCATGTAGCAGCTGCTCAGATGAGAAGTCACCAACTGACCCCCAAACAATACTGAAACAATCGAAAGAATGACATGTCATTGTTTTCTGCGACCAATCAGGAGAGACCTTACGAGCAGCCCTACACAACTGGCTTATAATAGCGAGTATTGTTTTATAAGACACACGTAACCCTTCTTCTAAGATACCCTGTTCTAGGCTCTCAGATTGTGGGGAGGACCCATAGGGCCATGTCAGCCTGAGGAAACAGCCGACATTTCGAGACGCCACCACCACTGGTTTCCCCCCACGAGATGACGTCTGAGAAATGACTCCAGAAAGTTTCACTACCCAGATTTGGGTAGTGATTCTGATCGGTCGAACCGTGAGGGAAATTTTCTTCAGCCAATCATAAGCACTACCCAGATCTGTCATCAGTATGGAATTTCTGTAATTGTTTCTTAGACGTCATTTCAGCCGCGAGGAAACTAGTGGTGTCGTCCCGAAATGTCAGGTATTTGCTCAGGCTAGGGCCATGTATGGTATTTACTTCTTGAGCTTAAAAATATTTCATTTACATTTCTTTTCCTGACTAAGGAATTATTTTTGTTTTTATGTTTTTTTTTGTATCGGTAGGAAAAAATTAAAACTTGAAGTGTGCAGAATTGACAGATCTTGGCAGTGTGATGCATTGGCATGGTTCACTAACTCAGCCACCACTACGCTTCGTTGTTGAAATACTCATGCTCGAGGTCAGGTAAGAAGAAAAAAAATCACTCGTGTTTTTCGTGACCAGTACAATTTTGAGAAGCAAATCAATGCATTTCTGAGCAAATGGTGCCTTTGTACTGCAGCAGAAAAGTGGAACAAGGGCAAGCCAGTTTAACTTGAGACGTAGTAGAATGTATATCATGAAAGATTAAATGGGCGTGGCTTATCAAGGCTCAATGCCTAAACTTGTACTAAGGTTCCCGTTGTTAGGGCATACATTAATATTTACACCTGTCCACTAGAGAGGATCACATTATAAGTTTACGATCTTGTCGACCCTATGATGGTTAAGGGTGAACGGGGCTACAAACGGAAACCTGTTGAGAGCTTTTTCAATGTAAGTGATATTTGATAGCATAAGTCACCCATACGTTTTCCTTTCCAGGCACTTATGCAACTGGCTGTACAGGATTGGACACTGCAGCGTTAACCGTCTATGAGTTATAAAGAGTCAATAAAGCTATTGAAATGGATCCCATTATAAATGCACTGTAAATATCAGGATTTATTAAATAAAAGATGCTGACGCCAAGTTGAATACAGAAGATGTAGTTTTTTGGGCATTCCCTTTGTCGGTCTGAAAAAGTATGTTGTTTAGAAGATGTGGGGATTTTGTGGGGATTTTGTCACCCCAAAAATTTGGCCACTGGGCGCTGAAGTGATTTTCCTCCCGAAAAATTTTATTTTGAAATATTTTCAAAAACTAATGCGGTTGCAATTACTTTTGGACCAAGATAAATTCATGGGCAAGGTTTAAAGGAAACTGATTTTCCGACCAGAAACGCAGTGGACCGGTTTTAGGGAGACTCGCTCTTGATATCGGAATAACACCGAAACACCGGTCAACCAACTTTACAACCGAGCTTTTCAGCTTCTTAACCTAAAGTGAGTGAGGTAGGGTAAAAACCCAAGGAAAGATATTATCCTGGATTGCAATCCTCTCTGGGAAAGAATCGAACTTATGGTGAATTTTACTATGCCTGAAATGGCGGAGAAAGAATTGTACATTGTTCATATCGATGACTCAAACTCCTTGGGAAGGAATAAGGAGTGGCCGAGGGAAACCACTATTCTGTCAGAATAAAGTGAAGTAGTTAAAAACTGTGTCACGCAGTTCAGTCAAAATTTGAACATGAGAGACCGGCCAACAAATGGACTGTAGTACAAAATCAACCGCTAAATCAGTGAA